CAGTACTGTTCCATCTATAGCTCACCAATATTAGATACACTTCAACATTAGATACACTCCAACATTCTCTTTTCAACACAAGTAACAACAGACTCCATCTAGAAACTTATAACAAGTACGCCATTGGAAATTTACTGTGATGCAGTTACCTGTTATAACAGATATCTCATGCCCTTAGGTTAATTCTGTTTCAGATTATGTTAAAAGTACTTAAGGTTTTTATATGTATCTTATTTCTGTTTTTAATTGTCATTACTATTACTCTCTATATAAATGTTTAGAAAAGATGTCTGTCTTGCAAACAATGGATTAAGAGAGTTTCTCCATATTGTTAACATGAACATTTCTAATTCACCTTCATAAATACCACATATACAGTATAATCCACAGAATTGAACTTAGACACAAAGCAGAGTATATTTAAATAAGTTGATTTCCTCAGCATGAGACAACAGTGTCACACATCCTTTGTGGACTGTCATTGTAAGCCTGGAGACAGTTGGTAATCTCACTATTCCATAGTTACCTGTATTATAATATCTAATTATCCCACCTGGATAAATGTCACCTTTAGATATACATTAGTGACCCAGGGGCAGATAACTACCACAGATTATGGTGTTTATCTGGTCTCATATTACATAGACATTCCAGATATTTATCTGCTGATCTCATCAGATCTCTTGTCAAACTTGAGTTCTACTTTAAGATACTTACTGAGAAAATATTTAATCTAATGAAGATTTGTTAACATGCAATCAGTTCCAATGCTTGGTAAATTAAGTAGCATGTGGACAATCAAATACCAGTGATTGTCTAGAAAGTCAGAGCAATGGTTCAAATGCAAGCCACCTGACAGACCGACTCTGTTCATGAGAAGATACAAAGTGATTTGATAAAAATGTATATATATCCTTCAAAACATACTAAATATGCACTGTTCATCACATTTCATCATGAGCTTATGTCTAAACAATTATTGATAAATTAAACTGATTAGCTAGCTGCTTTGAGTTTCAATCAATCTTAAGGCATACACCTTATAAATCTATTTTTAGAGATGATAATCAGATGAACTCCTACAGCTTTGATGATTCACACAAAGATTAAGTTGTCTATGTAACAGTTCCCACCTTGTCTCCTACATCATTGGTGATGATTGTCCTTAACCATACACCTCCAACCCTTCCTTCACTCAAAATAAAAATATATATCCAGCCAAGTTCCCATGGAGGAAAAGTTAGCCACCAGCTAAAGCTAGAGGCTGATTGCCAATTGACATGATCACCAAGATTTATAGCTATAAAACCCAACCCGAGAGCCAACACATATAATGTTACTTTTTGTCACATTAAAGTCCTCTCCATAAAGGATTGTTTTCATGGCTATGGGTTAGGTGTGGCAGACTTATGAAGTACCAAACATAAAATGTTTCATTTATCTATTTAAATCGAATTGTTTGTGCTGACAATACCTCCTACGTATACCCAGCAAAGGATGTGTTATGATGATTGGAGTCAGTGTTTTAAACTTGTATGGTAAAATCATGATTTTTATGAAGTAACATGTTCTTAATTCTTCGTTCCTTCTCTATCCAGAACAGCTTTTCTAATCACGGACATAGTATTTATATAAAATATTATTTGCCTTGTTGGACCAGGATGTCAGAATTTCAACTGGTCTGTAATCTATCTACAGGGCCTTCTAATATTTCTTCCAAATATCTACCCCTGAATTACTGTCTAGTAACACAGATCACGATAACCCTTCCTACACAAAGACAAATGATCTTTACCCAGGATTTATCGCTAATCGCCACCAAGGTTCAATGTACCTTCACCAACACACAGAGAACAAGTACCAGTATGGAATGTAACCCTTGACTATTTAAATCTCCAATGTCTTTTAACCACACTGTACTTATAGACAGATCTACCAAACAAGTATCATTGAGGTAGTCTAAACACACATCGCCAACCATACAAACTGATTGATAATGTGACACTGATGTCCTCCATCACTAAATATATAAACCTGAGAAGACCAATTCCTGTATCTGGCATCAATTCTCTGTCCAGCGGAGGCTCTTAACAGCCACCACAGATCCCTGTTTGTAGCCTATAATTAGCTATATTGATTGTAACTTTTATATTTGACACAACATATGATCGTGAACATTGTTGTTTCAGTGGAGGACCATGGACAATAACACAAAGCCAGCGGTGTATTGGCTATCTTCGTGTTCCAATCCACACTACAGTATCAATGGATAAGCACATAGAATAGTGGGAGACTGGAAATCATCCCACTGGTACACTAACTTCTATTTCTATCATAAAGAAGTTTAAAAAATAATGTCAATGAATTGCTGGTCATGAATTAAACCAGATAAACATTTTAGTATTAATTACACTTCATTTCTTCAAAAGTTGTAATGGAAGATCTGGTCAACCTGATGACTGGAACATTGAACATTGTACAAAACACACACGTGTAGTACTTTTTTGATACAAATTCAGAATTAGATACAGTAAAGCCATATTGTAAATTTAAATGCATCAAATTGCTGTTCCTCTAGGAGTAGTCATTGATGCAAAGATCTCAAATTTTGAAACTGAGGAAAACTATATTAAATACCTACATACCACAACAACAAAAATTTATCTGAATGAAAAAATATCATTGATGGTATCTAAACTTGAAGGTAAAAATTGTCTGATATATGTAGAACCGTCTAGTCATATGGACTACATCAATGGCAATGGTAAATCTAGACAACAAATTGAAGTACATGTAGATTTATCAATAGCTAGTACTGGTAAAAAGTGTTGAGAGTCAGACTTTCTAGTAGTATGTTTTGATTAATTATCAATTAATCGTTACTTTGCCACATACCTTAACTCAAATTATGTTGGCTTTTTGAGTAATTACAATCAATCCATTTAATTGGTAACTGATTAATTATTGGGACAACATGAAAACTGCTATAATTAATTTTAAGCTTAAGTCAGCAATTATAAACTACATAAGGACACCATGATCGGAATAAACTTCTGGTTAAAAAAAACATCACCAAGTCTATCTAAAATAACCATAAAAAAAACTGGAAATAAGTTCAAAGATTGTTCCCTCCCTTGTATCAAAGTAATCAGATATATTTTTAAAACCCCACAAAAGTAAATAAACATAAGACTTTTTCTATATACCTTTCATGCTTGATTATGTCTCCGTCATTTGCTTTTGAAGTTTTAAACTCTGTATTGTTGGGAAATAACAAATTTGCAAAATTAGTTATTATCAACAAAATATGAGAACTAAAAACCATACAGTGTTGTAAACTCTAAACAGAGGTGGAATCAATTGAGTACACAGGTCTTTATTTGAGTACTGAATGTCACATTATGTGGGTGTTATCAAGCGTACACAACTGATGCCACTAGATAAATGCTAGGTATGCTCAACTGATCAACAGTTTATAAACTGTAATATAATCATGTTAAAGTATTTTTACTTCATCGATCATTTTATGAGAACATGGCTGAGAATTACAAAAAATACCAGAACTCTTAACTTTCCCAAAGAAAAAATAAACTGACATACATTCATATTCTCTGTTCTGGAGAACTAAATGACAAGTTGTTGAAGACATTTCTGTGTACATTCATATAGTCAAAAGTAACATAGTTCAACAACATCTATGCCCTGTCAACACCATGGCATTTTTTAAGATGCATTAAAAATATAACACTGAGATACATGAATTTTGAAAAAGGATTTTGATACCACATTTTGAAATAACATGGTAGAGATCTGTAGCTGAGTAATTCTGTACACAGTACAGTATCCATTCTCACCATAAACATGCAAATTTTTGTTCTTGATTTCACTTTGGACCTTGATAACTAATTTAAATCATTTCCATTGTCATTTAAATTTTAAAAAAATATATACACTGCCATATTATTTTCTCTCTCTTACATTGTTTTGTCTAATACATAAATAAAGGAACTTGTCAACCACCACAGAAAAGTATGCATAAAAGATTTTAAATTTATACAACAGCCACATGTACATTATGTAAACTATGTATTGGGCTAAAAGGTTTCCTTTTACAAACATGCTCTAAAACGATGGTCACAGAAAATTTATCGTAAGATCATGCGTTGTACCCATTTTTTAAAAAATACATCACATAGTAAAAAGAAGTCTAAAGCTTAATATAGTCTAATTAGCTTTCCTATGTTGTCATGGTTTCAAGCGCTAAATGGGCTATATAGTACTGGATGTAGCTACTGGAAAAGTTTGTTATAGACAGGTATTTTTTGTTAGGAAATAGCTCATGTTGTCAGTTTTCATATCTTGTCTTCTATTAAATGCCCATGGGCCAGTGGTGCATTGACCATCGATGTAAAATTTGAATGGCTGTCAGATCTAATTGATGTTTGGGTAAAAACACTGGAAGACAGTTTAAGTTGTCATCTTACTGACAACTTGGTTGGAACATCATACATACAAGACCATAATACTAACCTAGTATGAGTCATGTTAGTGATGCAAAGCTGGTGGAGTCAGTGATGTTGATTTTATGTATTTTCTGGGTCCATGTTTTACTTAACAGACTGTTATTGATGTGTAATTATATTGATTATACAGATGTAACCACTGTAAAATATGAACTATCCAATATCGACAAAGTAAGGATCGTCTTTAAGAAATGACGATAAATCTGCTACCTCATCCTGTAAAATTATTGAAATATTCTGAGATCCCAACTCCTAATTATGACAAACATTTTTTTATTTACGTAAACACACGATAATAATAAGTACTGAAGGGAGTAAAAGACTGACGTTATGCGTGGGTTTAACGTAAACACAATTTAAGTAATACGAGATAGTAGTAAGCCAACTTCAGCCGGCAGCAATGGTACAGATTACCAGAACTGCAGAGCTGAAAATGACATTTCTAACGTTGAAAAGAAGTGAAAAAGCACAACATACCGAAACCACATATGAAACAGGATGCTAAAATCCACAACCTCCGAACTGGAATTGGTGTCTTCATCTTTCCTGTTTGTCAGACATACGGTTTGTACTCCATTACATCTTGTCAATATCGAATATTGTTTATCACCTCCTATAACCGATAACTATACTGGAAATGTCAATGCTTCACCTTGGATTATCGGGTGCTTGCGCCTTTTCGTCTAGGCGTTTGTAAAAAGGAAACGAAGCATATGAAATTCCGGATCTCAGAGGTTAAATCGTAATGGACTTGCGCATAATGTATGTAAGTAAAATAACACTGGCTCCGATTTCATACTTATCATGTAATCGAAAAATCCAGGTCGAGGAGGTCAAATTGATGATAAATGGATACAGCTTGACTTCCTTCTTAGTTCTGCTGTATATTGAGGCAACACATAAGACCTTGCATTAAAACAGCACATACAGAGATCATTTCCAACCGTGACTGGGAACAGACTTCACAAATACCACTGTAACCTTTACTGTGAATCATGGTTATTTCCTTACTCAAACTTTGTCCAATTTTATCCCAGAAACCTACCAGACAAATGCCATTGTTCTAGACCCTTTGATTAATCTGTGTGTGTGAAAGTCGTTTAAATGTTTTAACAAATTTGACCCCGTAAACTTAATATTTGCTCGGCTTCTTGTCAGCAACATAACAGACAAATGTCGTTATTCTAAGCATCTTAGTTAACCGAAAGGCGTTACTTGAAGATATTAATATGTTTGACCCAATATGTGTAGAAGATAAATTCTTTATACTGATTTTCTTCAGCTTTACCACGGATAACCAAATGGTTACAGTGTTCAAGTGTTTACATTAATGGGTCATATCATTCAGCTAAGCAGGGAACGTTTCACTGGATAAAAATCACGCATCAACGCGATCTTAGGTGTCCTCTCTGGTGAACATGTCGTAAGTTATGGAGTATTGTCAAGACTGTTGACGATTTCCTTAGAATATGTTGACAGTGATCTTCCTAAAAATATAAATATGCTGTGATAAATCATTCACGTGTGTAACATTTGTATTTGTAAATTGATATAAGGGAGGCAATTGTGAATTTTAGTGTCCTTATTTGTCTCCCTTGTGGAAATCTTTTGTAAAGAAAGATTAATTTCAAAAATTAGAAAAGGAAGAGAACAATATCTCATCTTTGATCACCATTTGCAAAGAATAATGCGAGTTTCTACAGAAGAACTATCCTAATTCACAACACAATATTGAAATTTGTCCTCGCAATGGCAAATGTCACCTGAATATGAAATCTAGGGATCGGAGGCCTCTCAGAACAACTTTTACAGTGCCATCACACTGGAATGTCATTTAGACTCGGTAAGATGACTCCAAGGGCCCCTTTACAGTGCCATTACACGGAAACATCATTACTTGTAAACAGTATCATAACATAACATCCAGCCACGTTATTTGTAAATAATAACAGACCGACCAGTCTGTACTGCTCATTTAAAACTAACGCAAAGCAAAGAGCAGCTACTACTGACTTCATTAGACAGAATCCACAGGTTTCCTAGTTACAATGGATGATCAACGCTAAGGTCGATCACGAGGAATTCCCAAGTGAGTGGTTAGAAAATATGGAAGAGAAGTACCGATTTTACCATGAGATTTACACACCTTTTACAACCAAACAATGTGGACAGTCAAACAATTTTCAACTTTTAAAAGTTTCACCTCTTGACGAATCATTACATGATACTCACAAAATGGTCAGGATTCTAACTGAAGTAACAATTGAGCAGATCTCATGGCACAGTGAGCCCATAGTGAATGAGTTGATTGAGGCCTAGCTCATTAAACAGGGGAAACACAGTCAAACATTAGTTAAGCGGGTCTGCATCCGCATGTTCAAAACCTTCTTCCAAAGAGTTGTTTCTCAGACAAAGTTAGTTTATCAACCTTAGTCAGTTAATTGACCTCGGTCGTAACTGTAGCTTCTCTCACCTGAAGAAGGTCACGTACGTTCAACGACAATCCTATATTTGTAACTCTGGTAAAATACGAGGGCTGATTGATAAGTTATGGGCCTTGTATTGAAGAAGCTATGTTGAAGAGATAACACTCTAAAGTAAACAAGAAAAGTGACTTTTGAAAAATGGACAAAATCGCTGAAAGAGCAGTGATTCAATATTTGCATAAGAAAGGTCTAGCACCTAAGGATAGCCATACTGATATGGTAGCAACACTAGGGAATGATGCCTCTTCATATGCAACAGTGAAAAGGTGAGAGGCGGAATTTAAGCGTGGCAGGCAGAGCCTTGGGGATGACGCCCGTCGTAAAAGGCATGTTACTGTTGCAACGCCAATAAAAGTCAATAAAGTCCATTGTATTGCAATATCTGAGAGGCGAGTTACATACATTTGGGATTTCACCGGAAAGAGTAGATTCTTTATAGAATAGATCATAGATTAAGATCATCCATGACCAAGCCGAATTGACTACAGTACATTGGTACCATCTGGTGTATTTTTGTCTATATTCTGTTTACCATCGCGTCACAATATTTTATTATACATAGGATTATATTCTATTCCATACAAGTATGTTGAACTCTCCAGTCATGAGATTAAAAAAATAAAATGTCTGTGAAATGATTCGAAGACACGTGTTATCTCCCCTCGTTGCCGAGTAAACACCACGTGGTGAAGAATCTTAAGTGGCAATGAGTTGTTCGGAAACGGCGCTTGGTCATGAAGCTGAGTTGTTCACTTCTGGTCGTCACACTCGTAAATTGTAATAACAGTTTTATATTGTGATGTAATATAAAGTTTGTAAACTTGTATACGTGTTCCTGCTTACTTTAAACCTTTATATATTTGTATTTGAATAGTTTTGTAATTGAAAAACTTTTTTTTCACTGCTGGATGTAAATCCATCGATCATCTTATGTTGATACAATATCAATGTATGTAGGCTGTTGGTTCATTTGTCAGTAAGTTCCCGAAAACTGTAATAAAGGTGTTCATTAAAAAGTCTATGGAAATCATTGTGTGTACAAGACATTCAAGCTACTCCCGGTTCCCAGATTAATATGTCACATTTGTTATATAGTGAAATGTTGAAGTGTTTGACAAATAGTGTTGACATCAGAAAGGTGTAAGATTGTGGTAATTTCAGAGCAGAACAGACAAATTGTGTAAATGGTGTAAGGATGTTTTTTCTTGTTATTGTAGTTTTCTCATACTTTCACTATTTTGTATACTATTTGATATGCTAATTTGAAGGCAGTTATGCCAACATCACATGGTTATTTACTCATGGGTTCACTTATGTATTTAAGTGTTCGTTTTTATAGGTTATATAAAATTGTGGACCATTTTTTATTTGGCCAGGTGTGGGTGGGAGTGGGAGGGGTGTATATGTGATACATATAATTGAGAACCACTTAATTTCACATCTCAAACAGTAATCTATTTAATTGTTTCATATTTAAATGTTTCCTTTCGAATAAAAAAAAATACCTTCATTAAAAGAAAAAAACCCGACAGAAGCTTTCGATTCAAAAGCTAAGCAGCTGAGAGCCGGGATCTTACCACTGTGCTACCGTCACGTTATTGATTCTAGACCTATTAATTGTAGAGTTTGAAATGTCAATGTTTCTTTCAAAAAAAGAAAATTAAACCCTGTTTGTCTGGTAAACTTATTATTTATGCTAAAAGAATGTACACTGGAAGTTTAACACAAGGGACAATCGCCCAGTGTCTTTCAATGACTTTTGATTTGCCTTAGTCGCCTCTTGGCCATCATATTTAAGGTCCTTAACACTACTGACGAGATGAATAAGGACGAAACTGTCGTAAGGTGCATTTTAATTCACTATTTGGCTCTACTGTGTGTAATCTTTCCTCATTTAAGGACTAAGTGACGTTTTCAGCCTTCTTTCTGGACTAGAGACAAGCCCACCATTCACCTTTTTTCGGAAGACTAAGCGGGCAAGGGTCCGGTTATAACCGAGCCTAGCACACTCCCACCATCCACCCTTTGGTATATTTCTTATGTATGTTCCATAAAGTCGCCTGTGTGGGTATACACTCATTTGCATACGAGGTACACAGTTTCACTAAAAATTCATACAACTAATAAAACCAACCTGTCGAGAAGTATTCATGTTTATGATAACAAATTATGTAGCAATATTTTCACGAAAAAACTGAAATATGGTGAGATTTTGAAGCTATTTGGAACATTTGCAACTATATTTATTTCTACGGGGTACTATAGGTTACGTCCCCTTAGCGCTATCGAGGCCTAGGCACGTGAGAGCACAGGTAGAATGGGATCAGTCATGGATGAGTGATTTTATCCGACTTGGACTCGGAGACCTGTGCAGCCATGGTTATATAGGTATCTGTTGTAGCCTACATAGAGGTTACACATCTGCTAAACCGTAATAATAAGGTACATAACATGTCGGACTTATTTCGAATTTTAATACATCATAGCTTAAATATCCATGTTCAAAACTACAAACAAAAAATAACCACCTTCAATGATTATTGCAAAAATCAGAGGGTTTCAATTCAGGTCAACAATACCTTATGAATAAAAACGTCATAATTTATCATACGAGTTAATGGGTTAATTTCTCATTGTCCGAATCTATGTCCTATATGATTTCACAAATTACTGCAGTCGATATACGACGAAATCATCTGATTTATATCCGATATAGATCATATATCTGATCTTATTCAACGCGGCGTATGATAAAAACACCCCTGGATTTGGTTTAAAATAAATCAAACTGCGGTAAGATCTAGAATTTGAAAAATACATTTGAACAGAACAATTGATTTTCACCTAAAAATGACACAAATACTTTTTAATTCAGGTTTGTCAAAGTTATATCAATATGTTGGAATGTTACTATACTTACTAGTCAGAGGCATACATATGGATATTTACACATAAAATTGCTTTCATTCCACATTGAAGTTGTCAAAATAATCGTTTTGTTGATTTTTTTAGTAAGACTATGAAGGAGATTCATGTGTTAGTTTCAACTAAAAAATGACACAACTAATTTTCATCTATTTTTTTAAGATTATGTATTTGTGACGAAGAAAAGTTAAATTTTCTGATCAGAGGAATACATTTTAGAATGTTTGTCTATAAAACGATATATTAATATTTTTTCTGAAATGCCGCAATATAATTTATAGTAAAAAAAATCGTTCACCTGGAGCGAGAAATCCGCAAATGCGCTGTATGTGGTTGAACTCCCCAGGAAGAAGATTAAAAAGTTGTTAATAAATTCTATGAAAAGATCTGAAGACACGTGTTATCCCATCTCATTGCAAAGTCCCTTGTACTGAAATACCAAATTGGAGGGAGGGAGAGGGGGTTATGTAACCCTTTAATTGAAATCTCACGACAACAGGATCACGTACATGTAATAATGTAATTGGTGCCGCGAAGTGACCATACCGATTTTCTTATAAGACCAGGCACCAAATATGTATTTCTGAAGTGGAAGCGTCTTCTAATTCATCGACAACAACCACCATGCAAACCTTTGTCGCTCCAAGATATAGTACAATAAATAGAGATCAGTTCGACGACCTTAATAGAACTCTCTTTAACTTTAATACACGTATTTCTGTCAGTTGTCAACATATTGCACAAAAATCGTGTCATTGGGAATAGACCCTTGTGAAAATTACATTGTAGGAGGTGAATAAGACCAGGTGTTCCGGAAGGACCTTTATTATCCTGTCAATCCTTGTAAGTCAGTAATGTCACGTTTCTATATAAAGAGACAATGGCTGTAAGAATAAAACCACAGGGTATCGAACAGGAAAACAATTATGGTTATCACAACTCCGACGTCCTGCTAGTCGTCATCGACCCACGTCTCAAGAATCGTTAAGTTTTAATTAACCTTGAGATAATAAAAACAATCCCTTGGTTATCGAATCAACTCCGACTGTCGTTGTAAACATCACAGGTTGAGAAAGCCGAAATGTTACAGAGGGAAAATTAACAACAGGGAAATCGTCATCTTCAAGCTCATGATATAGGTAGAGATGGAGGCCAGCGAGTGATACCATTCTGGTCTACCAACTGGAAATTATCACCTGACCAGCTTGGCTATCTTTATTGCAATATTCTTATCAAGTAAAGACTATAAGCAATTAACCATACTTTTTGGCGAATGTTTCAGTTTATTGGCCTTTTGACCAAAGCATGCATATGTAAGTGTATTCCTAGTCATATATACCATCGTGACAGGTCCAAAAATAAAAATGTCCTGTGCTGTAGCCGTTTTAGATTCTAGATATATAACGACCTTACAACCAATATAACCTGGATCCTATTGCAATGGAAACTAGAAACTTGTATCGTCAATTGAAAACAAGTCACTTAAAGTACATTTTCCGGATTACGACATTTATATCATTTAGTAGTTTTAGTACAGCCACCAAAGTAGTCGATAAATGTATTTCAACTCTGCGCGAGAGTTGTACGAGATTCAATATGTCTGCGCCCATTGAGTAAACGAGAGTAAACTTTGGATCGACGCTCTCTTATCTGTTGCGCCATTTTCTTAGCGTGGAAATCAGACGTCCATCATGAGTCTTAGCAAAGATGAAAAGAAAAAGGAGCCGAGCGCTGTGGAGAGGATGATGGGAGCATATTTAAAGTCACTACAAGAACGACCAGTTATTACTAAAGCTTGCACAAGGTACGCCCTCTTATTATCAAGCACTCTGCAAGTTTGAGACAAGGCCTCGGGACATCGGGGTATCAATGTAATAACGCGAAAATCTGCGAGAGCATTTATAATTTGACAGCGTTTTCAGCCATACCATACCACAAAATACAGCTGTTATATCTAATTGACATATAATTCCACAGCTATAGAATGCTTTTCCTGTTTACCAGACTGTTATGGTATATCACTTGAAGTTTATCCGCAGTTGGGGGCGGAACGATTTACCCCAAAACACACAAAATTATCCCCAAACACCCCAAAACTACTCCAAAAGACCAAACTACCCTGTAATTTACCCAAACAACACACATAAGACGGAAAAACAATTATTTAAACGTGGTTTATATGGTACGAAGACTTACTCTTGTGAAGTGACGACTCCCGATGTTGTTTTGGAAGGGAGGTAACCCTTACAAAACGGTGACAGAATAATGTTGTATGGACAATATCACATGAATTAATTTGATACTATCAGTACGATTAACAGAAAAAATCCCTTTGCATTACCACTTTGGTTTCCAAGTATCTTATACAGATTTATTTAAAGGGTGGGTATATTTGGCGAGTAGAATATTTGAAGTTTGAAGATTTTTGGATTGGGAGTGCAAAAAGAAGTCTTATCAAAATAACAATCAAATAACACAAATAGTAAGAGTACAAGTTGATATTAGGTCAGTGCACATATAGTGACTATAAACTTTCTGCATATCACTGATATTCCTATATATTTGCTAACCAAGATTTGGAAGGATTACATTTTGTACAGTGAAAATAAAGTAATTACATAGAAGTGTGACACAATGCAACAAGTATTTATTATATAACAATGATGAAAGGTGAAATAAGTTACACAAAAAACTAGGTGTGCAGATATAAGAATAGTAAAAGGTTATTTACGTGACATAACGCTGCACATGCTGACATCTATATGGATACCTTACATTATCAACAATAACACACATACTGCTAATATGCAATATTGCTTTATGTTCTATCTCATTTCTATGAAGCAAATTGTTAAGAAATATGTGTAAATATTTATATCTAAGCCATATTTGATACATTTCTTATTGATATATTTGTGAAGAAGGGGGAAAAAATCAAAATTATAAAGAAATAATTGAGACCAAATTAATGATGGATGCCAATATTCCTGTGGGATCTATTGTTTTTTACAGTGGCACTATTACTGCCCTGGGGAACTTCCTGTCACAATTAATTGTACCAAACCAAGGCAATGGAGGCAAAGTTGTATGGCGCAGTGTCTTTGCATATGGGGCGTTTGGGTGAGTATCATGTAAATACCTCTTATAAAACAGTCAGCAGACATCAGCAATCACTGGTCAACCTTCATATACAGTAATAGTTCCTGCATAGAAGTTTTAATTAAATGTCTGCTCGAAGACTGACTTAATCAACTTTTTTTTTTCATTAAGAATTAGATGTAACTTCTGACAAATCATCTTAAAGGGTATAGATTTAAGAAAAATGGTCCAAATAAAATATTATCTGCACTAAAAATGTAAATAATTGTGTTGTATCATCACCAAGCTGTCCCTGATTAGATTGTTAGTGTGGATTTACTTTACACATTATTTTTCAGATTATTATCTTCAAGTTGGTAATTTTAGTAGAATAGAACTTCTTATGACACAGCCAGTAGATGATTGGAGTGCGACATTTCCATAACTACATAGTCACATTCGCCAGATAAATGACCAGTGTGAAGTGTACTGGAACTGACATGTAGTATATAGGAGATGGTAAGGAATTGACCAACTGTTTCAGCTGTACTATAATCCTATTTACACTGAGGTTGAAGATATGTTTAGTGTGACAAAATTATAGAAAAAATAATAGTAAAGTTACACAGGATAGTAACAATGTACTTAAGTCGAATCAGCTAGACTTTGTAGCATTGAGAAGCAAGAAAACACTACTCGCCACTATGCTAATTGAGTGGTTATCAATTGATACTCTGCGGAATATGAGCACACATATGAAGCACAAAAAGGAAACAGGAGCAAGGCCAGTCATGGTGAAATAACATTAATCTCCATATTCAAGACATCATGAGTTTACAAAAATTTGTGCTTACAACAACATTAAAATAAGTATACTTCGCCTTCTGAGATACCAGTTACCAGGAACGGTTTGGCACAGTCATGGGCAGCTCAGTGTCTACGATTGTGGCCAAATTACTCATTTTTGAAATAGTCATAAACAGGTCATAACAGTACATACCACAGCAGCAGATTCACTTGTGAGGAAGAAATTGATGTCACTATGCCATCCCTTGACACCCTCCTAGTAAAGAAAGATGACCGTGATATTAAAATATTGGTCTATAGGAAAAAGAATCACACAGACCTATACCTCAACTTCCGATCACACCACCCCTTACACCAGAAGTTGGGCAAACTTTGCTCAACAGATGTGAAATGTTTGTCACAGGAGAACAGGACAAGAAGCAAGAACAAAATCACATCCACAGTGCCATGAAAACATGTGGATACCCTGATTGGGCAATCTAGAAAGTTAACTTTTTGATGAAAGCAAGAAGACTTAGAGATGAATCAACAAAGAAAAGAACAAATTGAAGGGACAAGAAGTCATACCTTACATCAAAGGATTGTAAGAAACCGTTTAGAGAATTAAGATATTTCCATAGCCATAAAACCTCACAAGACACTCCGAAATGTCCTAGTCCATCCAAAGAGTACATTGCAGAATGCCTATACAAAATCAGATGCAAGAATTACAATGCACTATATATCGGAGATTCGGGCAGGAGATTCAGAATCCAACTCAATAAACATTGGAAAGATGCAGAATCCCAAGAAGGCAAAAAAATATTTGATCAGAGGGAAAACGTTCTCAGTCCCAGATCAATAAATCAGCACTCACATATCATTCCACACAGAAAAATCATGTCATTGACTGGAAGAATTCTGAAATAGTTGAGAAGGAAAACAACCTTTTCATGCGGATGGTTAAGGAGACCATGTGGATACGCTGCAACGGGCCAGTAGTAAACAGAGATGAGGGGGGTGGGGCACAGATTCTTGCACATCTATGACCAAATGTTAAGCATAGCCTGATTGACTACAGTACATATTGAGCATATTTTTTGATCTGTAACCTGTTTACCATCTCGCCACACTATTTTCGACCTTAGTTTACATAGAATTATAGTTTTCCTTACCAAGTTATACACAGCGTTTGTCTATGCCAGTACACTTCACACTGGTCATTTGTCTGATGAAGGTGAGCATGTAGTCATCTAAACCTCACTCAAATCTCCTACTGGTTGTGTTATAAGAACTTCTATAACATGCTATTGGAGAATACTTGTGCTTGTAAGCCTAAAGTGTTATATAAACCATGTCCTGGACAGAAGTACAGATGATTGTCTGGTTTGTAGATTTTTTATCAGTGGACCCCTTATTCACAAGTTCTACGAGATGCTTGACAAAATAATGCCAAAAAAGAAAGATGCGGCTATGTTAGATGGTATCAAGAGAGTGATAATGGATCGTCTGATATGTGCTCCACCTTTCCTTCTGCTCTTCCTCTACATTGTACCCATCCTAGAGGTAAGATCGTGTGAAGTGACTAATACTATTTGTCTTGTAATAAGTCCTCCCCTTGACTGTAAATGACTGGTGTAGTATGATAAAGTGAACTGTGGTGAAAATTGTTGCATCTTCAATGGCACCATGAAAAGTATTAAAGGATATGGGACAAATATTGATAGTAGAACCAAGCAGATCTCTTTTACTGCTTGTGATTAATATTTTTAGCCTATCTGACACTATGAGTCATAGGCAACTGGCAATAGAACGAATTATTTGACATCTTTCTGTTGAAATGGCAGGATTCTGTCCCAGTATAGTCTTAAACATGTATGGGTGAAGGAGACTTTTGTAATAATTGTTCAGCTGACCCCCAGGGGCAAAGGGAATCGGGCCAATGGGAAAGTAGATATAAAACTTCAGAATTCCTTATTTTTTTTATGTAATACAATTTCAACTAAACAAAGCCAGGTGAGTGATAAGGGCCTTATGGGCCTCTTGTCTAGGAATTTCATGTACAGATGTATTGAAAGAAATCATGTTAATACCTACATATATATATATTTTGTACCAGGGGCATGGACATGCAGAAGCAGTTAAGAAGATTAAAGAAACATTCCTGACTGTATTGATAATGAACTGGAGGGTGTGGACCATATTCCAATTCGTCAACATTAATTATATACCTCAGAAAGTCAGTATACACTTATATCGTCTTATATTTGTCATTTTACCCTTATATAGTCTTATATTTGTCATTTTACCCTTATATGGTCTTATATTTGTCATTTTACCCTTATATGGCCTTATATTTATCTTATATTTGTCATTTTACCCTTATATTTGTCATTTTACCCTTATATGGTCTTATATTTGTCATTTTACCATTATATGGTCTTATATTTGTTAGTTTACCCTTATATGGTCTTATATTTGTCATTTTACCCTTATATGTTAGTTTACCCTTATATAGTTTATTATATAGTCTTATATTTGTCATTTTACCCTTATATGGTCTTATATTTGTCATTTTACCCTTATATGGTCTTATATTTGTTAGTTTACCCTTATATGGTCTTATATTTGTCATTTTACCCTTATATGGTCTTATATTTGTTAGTTTACAGTTATATGGTCTTATATTTGTTAGTTTATACTTATATCGTCTTATATTTGTCATTTTATCCTTATATGGTCTTATATTTGTCATTTTACCCTTATATAGTCTTATATTTGTTAGTTTACACTTATATGGTCTAATATTTGTCATTTTACCCTTATATGGTCTTATATTTGTCATTTTACCCTTATATGGTCTTATATTTGTTAGTTTACCCTTATATGGTCTTATATTTGTCATTTTACCCTTATATGGTCTTATATTTGTTAGTTTACACTTATATGGTCTTATATTTGTTAGTTTACACTTATATCGTCTTATATCGTCTTATATTTGTCATTTTACCCTTATATAGTCTTATATTTGTCATTTTACCCTTATATGGTCTTATATTTGTCATTTTACCCTTATATTTGTTAGTTTACCCTTATATGGTCTTATATTTGTCATTTTACCCTTATATGGTCTTATATTTGTTAGTTTACCCTTATATGGTCTTATATTTGTCATTTTACCCTTATATGGTCTTATATTTGTTAGTTTACACTTATATGGTCTTATATTTGTTAGTTTACACTTATATCGTCTTATATTTGTCATTTTATCCTTATATGGTCTTATATTTGTCAGTTTACCCTTATATGGTCTTATATTTGTCAGTATACACATATATGGGCATATATTTGTCAAGTTACAGAATCAAAATTTCTTTATCTAGCTGCTGTCTGATTTTTTATTTATTTTGAATTCAAAGCAGCAATTTCATATATCTTAATGATAAAATTCCTTTTAAAATGTGTGTTACAAGTTTAAGATTACCGGGTCTACCAAAAAAACCTTCTTTTGTGGGCATGCCTGTCAGATCTTGACTCAAAAATCTGTGAACTAACACTAGAGCTTTTCTTGTCTGATGTCTGTTCATATCTAAGTTATATAAGTTACGTAATGTCCTTGGTCTGGTGTTTATATAGTATATATTTTGTTACAGTATCGAGTGTTGTTTGGCAATGCCGTTGCTCTAGTATGGACCATCTTCCTTGCCACCAAAAGAAGACAGATGGCACAATCATAGCAGAAACTATGACAACCATTTCGTCAAGTAACCTGAATTTGGGGCAAGTAAATCAGAGTTGGGTTAGCTGGAGACCAAAACAACTGTTGTCCTTTATCTAATGGTTATACCAGTTCAAAATTCTTTACATACCGGCAGTTTTATAGTTTGGGATAACGAAGTATAAAATGCGTTCAAACTATCACATATTTGGCCTGACTGTTTATTCTACTACAGTGGAATCTGTCTAAACCTGACACCTTTGGGACTGAATAATTCGGCCGGTTTGTAGAGAGTTCCAGATTGTAGAGAGTCCATTGTTATTGTATTGTTGGAATTGGGACTTAATTATATGACTGGATTAGGCAGAGTCCAGTTTAGACAGAGTCCACTGTATTTCCAAAGAGTATAGCATTTACATGAAGTGAATATTTCTTATTTACGGACAACTGAGAAAATTAAAAAGTGGTAATTGTTGCTTTCATTCAAATAAGATATGTAGAGTGTGATAAAACAATGTTTACACAAAAATTTCAACAGAATGAAGATTTTTGCAATCATGGTTTTTCCTTTTGGTTTTTACAGTCCAGTTAACCTGACAGTGACTTTACAAGTTCATGATATAAAGTGTTAAGGATAACAATTACTATGCAGTAAAGAGACAAGGTTTGTAACTGATTATAAATGATTGTGTGATCGTTGTTATGAAATTCGATGGAGAATGTGGTAATTATAATATATTGATTAAAGGCTGTAACTGTTTATAGGAACAATGATTTTTTAGCTTATCCTCAGTTTTTTTTGTATTTTGTTGTTATTTCTAGCACTCTTGGACAAATATGTAATTGCAGTATAAAGTAAGATATATATATCAAAATAAGACAGTGCCTTGAGTTTGCTGTTGGGCCGGAAAATGTTAGCAAAATACAAGATTGACTGTTTTATCTTCATCATTCCATTATTTAATTGATGCATAAAGTATTTACCATTTATGTGTAGCATACACAGAATGTTTGTTACTGACCAAATAAAAAAAATCACATCAACATACTTAAAAAAGGATTTTTTTTTCATTGGTATTATAAAAAATGTAATTTTATTACAGAAAGGAGAATAAAACCTGAAACTTTTACAGGGAATAAATAAATAAATAAATAAATAAATAAATAAATAAATAAATAAATAAATAAATAAGAAAAAAAAAGTCAAATTGATCTGGTTCCTAAATCAGTTAAATCACAGGATTATTGAAATGATTATTTCATGTACATACAGAGGTCTTCCTAACGGTCCAGGATGGTAAATCTAAAATATAATGTGTAACATGTAATTATTGTATACAGAATTCATCATAGACAGAGTTACTGACAATCACTAAGCATTATAATGGTCCCACGATACGTATCGGAACCCAGCAGTTCAGAAACCTGTGGCAGTGCTATGTATATAATATCATAGATATTACCACAGCTTACAGCAGAAATTTCAGAAATGCTGTGGTTGCTATGGTAACTGACTACAGCTTTTGATTGGCGTTTCCTTACACAGAGTTGAATTTCCTATCTACTCCAGACATTTTATTGTGATTTGTTACATATGAAATGATTGTTTATTGATTTTTGAATATTGTGAAGATGGAATGTGTACAAGTTGATGGATGGAACCATCATTTTTCATGTTTTTGTTTGTTTATTTTTTAGAATTACCATTTTTTTTGTTATTGAAATACCATATTCTGTTCATTTCAGACTATTCAAACTTTATAAATTTTCACTCTACTGGTTAGTATGAGAACTTAACTTTTTTTTTTGTCGTAAATTGTGCTTATATTCTAGTTGTATACTTATTGGCCGGGTTGCACATAGAGCAAATCCGGGCTATAGTATGGTGAATGTTGGACGAGCAGGGAAAAGGAGTACCATTATTGTAGAATCAAATCCTCCTAGAGTTTTTGACGTAGAAGCTTGAAACTTTGTGGGATGTTTATACATATGTTGAAGATGTGCACCTCGTATTGTGGATTAATTTCGGTCATTTTTTAAAAATTTTTCGGGCTTTGGAACTTAGTTATTTTCCGCAGTTTTGGCAGGGAAAAGGAGTACCATTATTGTAGAATCAAATCCTCCTAGAGTTTTTGACGTAGAAGCTTGAAACTTTGTGGGATGTTTATATATATATGTTGAAGATATGCACCTATTAATTTAGGATTCATTCCAGATGTTTTTTCTTGATTTTTTGGGATTTGGAACTTAGTTATTTTCCGCATACCAATCAAATCCTCCTAGAGTTTTTGACGTAGAAGCTTGAAACTTTGTAGGATGTTTACATATATGTTGAAGATGTGCACCTCGTATTGTGGATTAATTTCGGTCATTTTTTTTTATTTTTCGGGCTTTGGAACTTAGTTATTTTCCGCAGTTTTGGCAGGGAAAAGGAGTACCATTATTGTAGAATCAAATCCTCCTAGAGTTCTTGACGTAGAAGCTTGGAACTTTGTGGGATGTTTATATATATGTTGAAGATGTGCACCTATTAATTTGGGATTCATTCTAGATGTTTTTTCTTGATTTTTTTTGATTTGGAACTTAGTTATTTTCCGCAGTTTTGGCAGGGAAAAGGAGTACCATTATTGTAGAATCAAATCCTCCTAGAGTTTTTGACGTAGAAGCTTGGAACTTTGTGGGATGTTTATATATATGTTGAAGATGTGCACCTATTAATTTAGGATTCATTCCAGATGTGTTTTCTTGATTTTTTGGGATTTGGAACTTAGTCATTTTCAACTGTCTGGCATGGAAAATCCAAGATGGCAGCCTTTGCCTCTCATTGGTTGAGATGTTGTTTTGAGCGCAATAGCCACTTATTAGCTGAAACGTTTTTTTTGAGCAGGATATACATCATTGCACTCATCCCGCAACCTGGCCAGTTGTGGTTTTGCCCCATTTTTTCATTTTAAAATCTAATGTATTCCTATATCATATACAGCATTTATAGTGGTATTATATAATAATAAATTCAAAAGATATATATCAGTATACTTTTACACTATTGGAATGTTTTGATATATAAGAGAGCAGGTGCCCGAGAAAAGCTCTGTAATGGTTGGTCAGACAGAATAGAGTTATCTCCCTTATATTTGTTACAGCAGCTTATCGCATGTTATTTTTAGAGAAAACCAATAAAACAGAAATCAAGTAGTAAAACTATATCTCTTGTCCAATTCACTGTGTGATTGACAGTGTTATCTAAAGTTATCTCCCTTTAGTATTTTTTTTTTTTTAATAAACATTTTCTTGTTTGCGTATCAATCAGTTGATAGATGAAATATTAATTTATGATCACATTCAATGATACCAGAGTATACAGTATATATTAATGTTGATGTTGACTGTATGTTTCAGATTTATGTATTTGATGATTATGATAAATGTTTGGGCTATGCAATTACCCAGGTATTGGACTAACATGTACTATATACAATGTGCCTCGTTTGGGTAATGGAAATCTATACTTGTAAATTTTCACTGTGAAATGAAAATGATGCAGTTTTTGCCCGTTTCACATTTGCCAATAGGAAAGGCTAAATTTCGTAGACTAACTTTGCACCATAGTGCATTAAATCGTACAGTATCTCGTATGTTTAGCTTATAGCTATGTCACTTATGTCAGTAACTAAATTAACATACCTGGTGTGTCTGGCTGTGTTTATTGTAGCTAATATATGATAAGTTCCCAGTGATAATTCATTTGATACAGCAAACATTTTAATGTTGTCGTCTTCCATGATTTTTTAAACAAGGGATGGCTGGTTTTGTTAAGCTGCATGAGCAATGATATTGGCTGTCTGCTCCATGCTAATTCTACAAGAAAGGATTTTATGAAGGAACTGACATGAATTGAATTGTATGAAGTTATATAGCATATTTCATGTATACACTCTCTAAATGAGAGTTACATCACACAGATTTCAGAAGTTTTTCTTTACTATATATATTACATATCAAGTGTAAGATACATTTGTTGTATATATTTATGATGTATAAATCAGTTTTCTTAAACAAGCAGAATACTATCAGTGTTTAATCAAATCCATAAGTTGTACTTGGCTTACAATTTTTACAATAAAATAATTACAACTGTACACACATCTGTTGGTTTTTTAAAATTTGTACTTTCCAATGTTTTATTTTGTTAGTAGCAAATTGTTTTAAAATAAAAATTTCTGTGGATGTTCTACCCCCACTCTAAAAGAAAAGATGGACACTGATGTCCCTCGGTGACACAACACCTAGCAACAAAAGGACACTGATGTCCCTCGGTGACACAACACCTAGCAACAAAAGGACACTGATGTCCCTCGGTGACAACACCTAGCAACAAAAGGACACTGATGTCCCTCGGTGAGACAACACCTAGCAACAAAAGGGTGATGAAGTAGGAAAACCTGTAGCCTACCAACCAACCACCCACAAACCACCCATGAACCCACCCCTACCCAAACATGAAACCTCGCCACTACAAACATTTACCCCAGACTGTATATATTAGAAGTTCATCAATATATAAAATGATAAAAAACAAAAACAGAAAAACAACAATTCAAAATATACTTATGTAGCAGCTCATATTTAATTTGAATTGTGTACAAGATATGCTAGTTAACAGCAAGATATTGCTAAACTTGTAGTGTAATATCATTAAGCATTTCTCACCAATCATCTGTAAGTTACATGTAAATATAATTTAACTGCAAGGCTCCCAAACAGTTAACTGTATACAGCACCACTTGATCACTTACTCTCGCATCAAGCCTCTACTTTTACAGGTACTTTAACAGCTATGAATATACATAATTATGCAATTGTAATATGTATTAAGGCCACTTTCACACAATACCGGTCTGGTTTCATATTACATTAGGTCAGTCTATATCTTGCTTATAAAAATAAATATCGACAACACAATATGCTGAATTTCTGGTCACCTTGTTATGTATGTGAGTATTTTGTTTTATTTTTGTTACAAAGATCCTTGAGGGATCTTGGTGCCCATTGTTGTTTGATCTTTAATTGTTCTATAAAAGTTGGATCCTTTCCTTTCTTTTCTTTCTTCTATTTTTGCTTTTAATCAAATGAAATTAAAAAAAAGAAATAGTAATTATAATCTTTTGTCTGCCAAATCAGAGATGGTAGCTTGTCGGCCATTTTATTTTTCTGATAATCTCAAAATAACAATAACAAAACACGTTTACAAAAGAATGACAGATCATGGCTGTAGGGTGATTTGCATAGCTTTACCACCTATTCAAACCTCAAAATATTCTCTAAAGAAATTGAGAAAATAATGTTTTATCTAATGATGGTCAGCTAAAAAGACAATGTAAGTTATAAGTTGTTGGAACTCTCTCTCTCTTTGAAAACACAAAAATTCCTTATTGTCAACAGAAATCAATTAAACAATGTTTCAATACAAGACAGATGTTTTACATCTTTGCTTTCCTGAAAATAAAATATTGAAATATTGCAATATTTGCAAATGATGATTTTGTAATATATACACTGTGGTAATTGGTCTAAATTAATTTTCTCTTTCTCTTTTTTGTGTGTTAATTCCTCATATATTTATACATATATATATATATGCATATATGTTATGCTATATGAAATGAAAATGAACACTCGATCCCTGCACCATCTTCTGTGAGATCTCTGTGATCATCCGCAATCCTAACCTTCACAGGTATGTGATTCTGACCTGCCTTGTAACTAAAGATGGGAAAACATAAGCTGTTGTAGTCTTTATAATTGTCAACATTTTCCAGAAGTGTTAACATCATGGTTCCAGGACAGGCATGGCTGTAGTCTATCGTAATTTTCCACTCATATAATGCGTCCAGCATGTGACTTGTTTTACAACTTAGCTATACTACAAGGAATACCTCTTCACGTATCACTTTCTGTGTGTGCCATTTGCCTGGGTTGTGCTAACGCTCGAAGGAACCCAATCACAAGTCCACAGAACAACAGAAAGAAGAAGTATCCCATCGGACTTAGTCCGAACAGAAATCTTAAAAACATATACACAATTCCTAGATACACCAAGTTACGATAATTTGCCAAAAAGCGTAAACTAAGTCTTGGTGTTTCAAGTTCTTCTTGTAGATTTTTTGAAATTGGAGAATTGAGTTTTTTGTCTGGTGTGAGGGGTGGGGACAGATACACCTGACACATCTTACCTAGGAACCCTTCTCTGTAGTATAAGTTCACAATCTCCGAATGGAACTGAAAACAAAAAACAAAAGTAATACCAACAGTTAAATCAGAGTTGAGGATCAAACTGCCTTTAACAGAGAGACCAAACAACCGGTCAAAACAAGATCATAAAAAATGCACAAGAAAAATGTAGAATACAATAAAAAAAATCTCTAAAAAAAAACCATCAAATGTATAACGTTCATTTAGCTTAGTAAAAATTATACAAACTTGTTAAAAATGAAGTGTTATCAAAACAATAGTAATTATATTTACAACTTTTACACTGTATTACGTGACATATATGTTACACTATTGTATTGGTCTATGTTTGTGTACACTAGACATTTCTGAACAGAATTCTTTACTTACATGTGTGTTAATAAACAAACAGAACTGATGGAGTAATCGTACAAGTAAGGCATTCTCAAAACTTCTAATCGGCTGTAAGGCTGGGTCTCCTTGATAACCAATATCAAACTTTTTCATCCGATTCATCATCTACAAGGAACATTTTACCATATATTGTATTAGTACTTTTGTCAAAACAATTTCATATGATAAAGTATATATATTCACATATTATTAGCCTGATCCTGCATTTTTTAAAGAACATCTGGATAAACCCATTTCTACTAAAGTGATTTTTAAATTTGAAATACATAATGTGTTTTTGATGTTATAAATTTTAACTTAGGAAGCAATTACAACAATATGTTGTTTCTTCTTATTTATTGATATGTCGACCGGTTTCGGCCGAACTAAGCTTCTTCAAACAAAATTGTAGAATATTTCTATTTCTAGCACTTAAGTAGTAAAATTTTGGGCACACAGAATTGTTCTACCTGTATATGTATATATAGTGACATCATTAACAATGATATAATTATGACATCATAACCACTTAGTTGTATTGTGACATCATCAATAGGTAATTGAAGATAGATAACTCTGTTCAGACAATATCAACACATATCTGAAACAACATCAATGTAAATGTTGGGCTGCAGGACACAATAATAGTTAGAGAAAACCAATTCTTTATTTTTACTGAAATGTCCTTTAGAAGTTTGTAATACTAAGTTTCATCTAGCTGATTTGTCGGTCAATTTGTTGGTCTTATCATAACATGTTTCAACATACAAAGAAAATCAGGGTTAAAGTCCTTATTATTGATAGAGAAACCTACTAAAAATTATGTATTATAGAGATTATAAACTGTACGAGTCTAAGGCCAAGCTGAGGGAAAGGTCCTCCCTTAAGGCTGGTCATATGATATCTTAATCCCTTATTACATGAATCCCTGTCATATTGGGTTGGTTCTTGAAAACGTTTGAATTGAAGATGATTGGTGTTTGAGGTTCAGTGAAATATGCTTCATGATCATGTCTATTGTTAAGTAGAGTAGTAGTAGATTCTGTTGTGGTAAGCCGGTCCTTACTTTGATATAAGTTCTGTAAGAATGAAATCATTGTGACTGCTCTGCTAAATATGGTGTATACCTCATCAGGTTTTGATTCAGTGCCAGTGGAATGCTTTGTAAATTAACGACAAATCGTTTATGTAATTAACCTTATCTGTAGATTTCTCTATAACTTTGTGTTATGTTATGGTCCTGATATTTCAAGGCCTGTGCTCGGAGTTAATGTAGAGTTTTGATGTGCAGTATGATGGAAACTGGTAAAGAACTTCTTTCTATACCATTCTCCCTTTTCAGTTCTTGATTAATCCAATCGTCTGTTTGAGTATCTGCTGCTAACTTAAAGTCTAGGTTGGTTGTTTTATGTTTAATGGTGATCTGTGGTCTGCTGGAGGTCTCCATGTTTATCTCGGTGGAATGGTAGAGACACAAGGTCTCTAGATACAATATGACAACACAGATACGAGGATGTGGTCTGCCGGAGGTCTCCATGTTTATCTCGGCAGAATAGTAGAGACAAAGGGTCTCTAGATACAATGTGACAACATAGATACGAGGATGTGGTCTGCCAGAGGTCTCCATGTTTATCTCGGCAGAATAGTAGAGACAAAGGGTCTCTAGATACAATGTGACAACATAGATACGAGGATGTGGTCTGCCGGAGGTCTCCATGTTTATCTTGGTGGATTTGAAGAGACAAAGGGTCTCTAGATACAATGTGACAACATAGATACGAGGATTTGGTCTGCCGGAGGTCTCCATGTTTATCTCGGTGGATTTGAAGAGACAAAGGGTCTCTAGATACAATGTGACAACATAGATACTAGGATACAGCCAGCACCATTATTATAAGAAGAGTTTAGTTTGCTCCTTGTATCCCTTGCTTGGATATCTATCAGTATGAACAGCAATTGGACTTTTAACTTGGTAATATCAGAATAAAATCTGAACTAGAATAAGAAAATAGAACCTGTTTAAAAGAAAACAAAATAAATGCACAGATTCACTACACATCTGACCTGATATCGACCAAGTGGTGTAAGTCGGACTCCACTCTCTGTCTCCTCACAGTCTGGGGTCCCTGGCTCAGACAGACTGCCCAGAAATGATGTTTGTCCCAAAGCTGAGGTTTGGTTATGCAGAGTGGAACAAACACCATACGTCTGGTACTCGATAGGTGGGATCTGACAAGTAAAGGAAAATACAAAGAGTGCTAGGAATACAGAAAACATGTCAATACAAATGGAAAGACAACAAATATATTATACAGATTTTGTTACAGACCTATATGTGAGATTCAGGTCAAATCATAAATTTGTTGTAAATTCTTGATGAAATGTCTTTTGGAGTGTTTGAAATGAGTTTGATAGCGAAACTCTATATTTAGTAATAGTGAACTTGACAGATTAAACAATTAACTGAGTCTGTGAAGTTTTAAGGACCAAATCAAACATACTTGTGAATTTAAATATTCAGTGAGGCACCACCATACAATGACAATTCCTTGTGCATTATTGTCTGTCAATGTACGAAGCTTATTTTGGCAATATGTTTGGCAGGTGCTCTGAGAAAACTTGTGCTAGATTTATTGAGGGAAATTCAAATATTTCCAAATGCGTTATAAAGCAAAGTGATAGTGCAGTTCCCTAAGTACATTTATTGTAGTAAGCACAAAACTATTTCCAGCTGATATAAATCAAACAAGGGCCGTCAGAGACAGGTTCTGCTCCTCGAATGGGACAAAATTTAAGAATGAGAAAAAACTGAGGGCAATAAGAGAGTTATGATTTTTGTGCACTGCCCTCCTTCTCGTTGAGATCTATCTACCTATGAAGTTTCATGCTGATGCCTCCTATAGTTTTTGTGTAATGCTCTGGGCAAAATTTAAGTAAGAAAAATAACCAAGGGCAATAACTCCTAAATTATGCAAAAGAGAGTGATGTTCTTGTGCACTGCTCTTCTTATTGATATCTATCTACCTATGAAGTTTCATGCTGATAACTCTTACAGTTTTTGTGTTATGCTCCAGACAAAATTACGAGGAACAGATGCACACAGGGAAAAAAGGATGGACAAATGGACGCCGCAACAGACAGATGGATAAAGCAGCAACTATATGCTCTCCCTTTTGTTTGCTAACCATAAAATGTGGCTCATTTACTATACTATACAACTGAACTTCAGACAAGTATGTTATGGACAGTTAAAGAAAATAAGTCTTAGTGTTCAACTTACTTCAAATAATGAACATAATCCTCTGACACTCATCTCAAGGTAACCATGAAGCTTCTTCACCTCAGCAACACTAAGGTCTCCAAAGCTCTTGTTTTGGTCCTCAAACCAGCTTGACATATCAAAAAGTGAAGACAGACCAGACTTGGATTGTTTTGTCCGTGAAGACTCCACAGTGGTGATTCTTGTCTTAGCCTGACATATCTGTTTCATCACATCGGTCACCTGTAACAGCCAGCCCAGCAACAAATTTTAAACAAACACATATACAGCCAGCCCAGCAACAAATTTTAAACAAACACATACCTGGTATACAGCCAGCCTAGTAACAAATTTAACACAAACACATATACAGCCAGCCTAGTAACAAATTTGGTATGATGTGACCAATCATTTAAGCAAGCATTTCAAGTTCAAACTTTAAGTCATTTTGACTCTACATCTATGGCCTCTTTGTGTACAGCTTCTATATCTGATTATGATCAAAATCTGGTAAAACAAAATCTAAACATATCATTTAATTTTTAATTTGACACCTTTCGTAGTTCTTAGAAACAGCAGTAGAAAGAATTTTGTAAAGTAAGAAGTTAGCGGGACAGACAGATGGATGGACCACAGACAGAAAGTGGTTTTTAAAAACCTACTCTTCAACAACACTAATGTTAAGTTATAAGTGTATATAACTGTACTATGACACTTACAGCTTGCATTGTGGGGTCAGCGGCTGGTCCAAACATTGGAGAATACTGGAAACCAGATCTCTCAAGCTCCGAGATCTGTGTGTGCAGACTGAGGTTGGTCTCTTGGGACAGATAGCTACCTCCTAGATCATGGGACGGAGACAGTCGTAACGATCGGTACAGGGAGGTACACAGATCACGCTCAGCTGAAAGGGACATAATCATTATCTCTTTAACATTCACAAACACAAAAACTGGAGATATAGGCAAGAAATCAACCTAACCACATATGTGATATAATATATATACCTGGTTATCATGCTTACAGCGAGTGGATCAATACTTGTATATAGATTATCATGAAGTATCTTTCTGTCCTCTATACATACCTGTTTGTATTATGGCTGACAAGTTTTGGAGGCTGAATACCTGTATTTAAAGAAAAAAGTCATAAGACTGAAAGTTTGAACGAAATAGGAGATACAGGTATATAATTATGTAGAAAATACATAAATATATACAAATTCATATGTGTTTCTTGTTTCTGTTGCCTCTGATATTGATTGTATAAAAGGTATAGATCAATCTAATGCATTTCTGTTGTTTTTAAACTGAATTGGAGAGATAAACAATACGTAATGTCAACAAACATCACAATGTTAATTACTTGTATATTTATGTAAAGTCTGTACACAAACTTAAAAGTGAAAATCTCCCTTTCTTCCCTCATAATCTAATTGCTGTCTTTCAAATCAAATCTGTGTTAGTCTTATTGTGATACTATTTGGAATTAATAGTATGTGGATTTTAAAGAAGTCCAAAGAGCTTATGACTTCAACCCCTCTTCTAAAAAGATTTCTGTTATAAGAACAATTGATTTTTCCACTGTGTACACCACCATACCTGAATCTATACTGAAAGAACGCCTTCGTTCTCTTGATATGAGAGATTTCTTTTCAAGGAAAGGTAAACGGCAGTACAAACATATGGTTGTGAACTATACTGAAGCATATTCTGTGAAAATTACATCTAAATTCAAGAAGAAATATACAGAGGACGAAATCATACAAATGATCGAGTTTCTGGTTGACAACATCTTTGTCTAGTTTGGTAGGAAGATCTTTCAACAGACTATTGGCATACCTATGGGAACCAACTGCACCCTTCTGTTGGCCAACTTGTTTTTGTTTTCATACACGGCTGAATTCATCAAAGAGCTTATCAAATCAGGTCACAAAGACCTTGCAAAGTCATTTAATTTCACTTTCACATATATTGATGACTTCCTGCTTTTAAATCTATGTAACAAGAAATTTATTCCTTTATCGAATACCCCCACCATAACTGGAAATCAAAGATGTGACAGACTCTACATCAGTCGCTTATCTCGATCTTTCCCACGGACCACTGAGTAAGATGTGTAATTTCCTTCATAATATGATGGTGGATTTACTAACTGAATTCTAAGGGGTTATCTTGTCATATTTTGTATGAGGAAAAAAGATATGCTACATCCCTTGTATATAAATGGAAGGCTACAATGTAAGTTGGTTTCAATGCTAAAATAATTCTCTGTTTAATAAATAAATACCTTTGCTACTCTGTACAGCATTAGACCATTAATAGGAGCAGTGAGGTCCATACGAAACACACGACACAGGAACTCTTGGAACAACACAGTGTAAAACAGCAAGTTATCCTCTATAAAGGGGTGCCTGGTAATCAAAAATAATATATATAATGTTAATCAAAGTGTCTCACAGACAACTGAGTAACAAATATCATTGACAGACTGTAAATCAAAGGATTCATCAAAAGTTGAGGGTGTAACTGGCCTAAACAAAGAGAAATTATCTATAATATAGGTTGGCAAAAGACATCACACCAAACGACCAAGGAGAGAAAAAGGGTAAAACTCCTAATATTTTTCTTTCATTTTGGCATGATTACAGAGCATCTAATACTTAACCAAACATACTTGGAATGGATGTTTAGCTCTTATTAATGCTTTGAAAATGTAATGTCAGAATTAAAATTAGTATTAGATACCAACCAGCGGCCTTCATCCACAGCTTTGGTTTCGGGATCACTGTCTCGGCGGATCTTGGTACGGTTGTTGTTGGTGTTGGGAATGTAACGCCATGGCTGAATGTATGTCAGCCAGGTTTCCAACATCTGAACAAGAAAACATATACATGTATTCAGAAGAAAATAAATATGGTGTTTGGAGAGTTTCAGTGGGTGTTTTTTTTCAGCTTACAATTTTGTTTCTCTAAGGGGTTTAGTATTTTCATGAAAGATTTCAATGCAGGATTTTAGTGAAGGGCTTTGGTGGAGGGTTTAGAACAAGGTTTTAGTGAAGGGCTTCAGTGAAGGGTTTAGAATAGGGTTTTAGTGAAGGATTTAGAATAGGGTTTTAATGAAGGGTTTAGAACAAGGTTTTAGTGAAGGATTTAGAATAGGGTTTTAGTGAAGGGCTTCAGTGAAGGGTTTAGAATAGGGTTTTAGTGAAGGATTTAGAATAGGGTTTTAGTGAAGGGTTTAGAACAAGGTTTTTGTGAAGGATTTAGAATGAGGGTTTTAGTGAAGGGTTTTGGCAAAGGGCTTCAGTGAAGGGTTTTGAACAGGGTTTTTGTGAAGGGTCTCAGTGAAGGCTTTAGAACAGGGTTTTGGCAAAGGGCTTCAGTGAAGGGTTTAGAACAGAGTTTTAGTGAAGGGTCTTGAATAGGGTTTTAGTGAAGGGCTTCAGTGAAGGGTTTAGAACAGGGTTTTAGTGAAGGATTTAGAATAGGGTTTTAGGGAAGGGTCTAGAATAGGGTTTTAGTGAAGGACTTCAGTGAAGGGTTTAGAACAGAGTTTTAGTGAAGGGTCTAGAATAGGGTTTTAGTGAAGGGCTTCAGTGAAGGGTTAAGAACAGAGTTTTAGTGAAGGGTTTTGAACAGGGTTTTTGTGAAGGGTCTCATTGAAGGGTTTAGAACAGGGTTTTGGCAAAGGTCTTCAGTGAAGGGTTTAGAACAGGGTTTTGGCAAAGGGCTTCAGTGAAGGTTTAGAACAGGGTTTTAGTGAAGAGTTTAGAACAGGATTTTGGTGAAGGGTCTAGAATAGGTTTCAGTGAAGGGCTTCAGTGAAGAGTTAAGAAAAGGGTTTTGGCAAAGGGCTTCAGTGAAGGGTTTAGAACAGGGTTTTGGCAAAGGGCTTCAGTGAAGGGTTTAGAACAGGGTTTTGGCAAAGGACTTCAGTGAAGGGTTTAGAACAGGGTTTTGGCAAAGGACTTCAGTGAAGGTTTAGAACAGGGTTTTAGTGAAGAGTTTAGAACAGGATTTTGGTGAAGGGTCTAGAATAGGTTTCAGTGAAGGGCTTCAGTGAAGAGTTAAGAAAAGGGTTTTAGTGAAGGGTTTTGATCAGGGTTTTTGTGAAGGGTCTCAGTGAAGGTTTTATAACAAGGTTTTAGTGAAGGGCTTAAGTAAAAGATTTTGAAAAAGGATTTAAGTAAAGGAATTTAATGTCGAGTTTACAGCTGAGTAAAGGATTGGTTGGTTTGTTGGTTGACTGTTTGAAAATTAAAATCTCATATTGTTCGTTTATTTTTTATATGTCTGAAAATAATGACCGCAAAATACTATGTCTTTCATTAGCATCCTCTGTAACCAGCAGAACTTCTTTGAAATGTATATTTTAGTATTATTTTGCTAGTCTCAAGCAAAAATCTTAAATCCTGTTGTTTTTGGGAATCAACCTCCAAGGATTCTGTCAGGAGGATATGCTGTTTGAAGTACACATTCACATACAAGCATATTTAATAAATCTGCATTATACAATTGAAGATTGTCTCACTCACCAGTCTGAAAGATGAATCCAGTGGCCAGCGGTCAAATCCATGTCTCAGGAAGGCATAGAGTTTTTTCTGGATGATGTGTGGGAGTAGACTTCTGTAAGGATATACTCTCAGTGTAAACATCATCTTATATTTACTTTGATCAGGTAACTACCCTGTTATCAGTGTAATAACACCCATTACATAACTACCCTGTTATCAGTGTAATAACACCCATTACATATCTACCCTGTTATCAGTGTAATAACACCCATTACATATCTACTCTGTTATCAGTGTAATAACACCCATTACATAACTACCCTGTTATCAGTGTAATAACACCCATTACATATCTACCCTGTTATCAGTGTAATAACACCCATTACATATCTACTCTGTTATCAGTGTAATAACACCCATTACATAACTACCCTGTTATCAGTGTAATAACACCCATTACATATCTACCCTGTTATCAGTGTAATAACACCCATTACATATCTACTCTGTTATCAGTGTAATAACACCCATTACATAACTACCCTGTTATCAGTGTAATAACACCCATTACATATCTACCCTGTTATCAGTGTAATAACACCCATTACATATCTACCATGTTATCAGTGTAATAACACCCATTACATATCTACTCTGTTATCAGTGTAATAACACCCATTACATATCTACCCTGTAATCAGTGTAATAACACCCATTACATATCTACTCTGTTATCAGTGTAATAACACCCATTACATATCTACTCTGTTATCAGTGTAATAACACCCATTACATATCTACTCTGTTATCAGTGTAATAACACCCATTACATATCTACTCTGTTATCAGTGTAATAACACCCATTACATAACAACTATGTTATCAGTGTAATAACACCCATTACATAACAACTATGTTATCAGTGTAATAACACCCATTGCATAACTCCCCTGTTATCAGTGTAATAACACCCATTACATAACTACCCTGTTATCAGTGTAATAACACCCATTACATAACTACCATCTTATCAGTGTAATAACACCCATTACATATCTACCCTGTTATCAGTGTAATTAAACCCATTACATAACTACCATATTATCAGTGTAATAACACCCATTACATATCTACCCTGTTATCAGTGTAATAACACCCATTACATAACTACTCTTTATCAGTGTAATAACATCCATTACATAACTACCATGTTATCAGTGTAATAACACCCATTACATATCTACCCTGTTATCAGTGTAATAACACCCATTACATAACTACTCTTTATCAGTGTAATAACATCCATTACATAACTACCCTGTTATCAGTGTAATAACATCCATTACATAACTACCATGTTATCAGTGTAATAACACCCATTACATATCTACCCTGTTATCAGTGTAATAACACCCATTACATAACTACTCTTTATCAGTGTAATAACATCCATTACATAACTACCATATTATCAGTGTAATAACACCCATTACATATCTACCCTGTTATCAGTGTAATAACACCCATTACATAACTACTCTTTATCAGTGTAATAACATCCATTACATAACTACCATGTTATCAGTGTAATAACACCCATTACATATCTACCCTGTTATCAGTGTAATAACACCCATTACATAACTACTCTTTATCAGTGTAATAACATCCATTACATAACTACCCTGTTATCAGTGTAATAACATCCATTACATAACTACCATATTATCAGTGTAATAACACCCATTACATAACTACCCTGTTATCAGTGTAATAACACCCATTACATAACTAATCTTTATCAGTGTAATAACATCCATTACATAACTACCCTGTTATCAGTGTAATAACACCCATTACATAACTACTCTTTATCAGTGTAATAACACCCATTACATAACTACCCTGTTATCAGTGTAATTACACCCATTACATAACTACTCTTTATCAGTGTAATAACACCCATTACATAACTACCCTGTTATCAGTGTAATTACACCCATTACATAACTACCATGTTATCAGTGTAATAACACCCATTACATATCTACCCTGTTATCAGTGTAATAACACCCATTACATAACTACTCTTTATCAGTGTAATAACATCCATTACATAACTACCCTGTTATCAGTGTAGTAACTTCCATTACATAACACCCATTACATAAAGCTTATCAAAATAAGTGTAATATGATCTAGTGGAGATGTGATCAACTGGAAGTTATCATTGTAGCCTTAACAAAGAAAGAAAGTTTGGTCATACAGTGACATAGCCATTAAGGACATTTGTTTGGTTGCGAGTAACTCTTACACAAATTACATTAAACTTCATATACCGGGTAGTACTCTCACTTTAGAGAACTTATTATCTATTAATATATAATCTAGCAGATGGACAAATCACAACATCTTACTTTTTAAATTCATCAAGGGGCGACACCAGATGGGTCTGGTACGATGATGTCAAAACATCCTGGGGCACTGTATTGACAAAGTTATGGACATGTTTGATGAGCATGCGCACTAGGCGTGTGTGGTTCTTGCTTGGCATGAAGTGTTCCTGTGGAGAATAATGTCATAAAGTGCATTGCCTTATATCTGTGTTAGGTTTCTAAACATGGAACTAAAGCTTATCTGAATATCAAAATATTGAGAGAGCGAGGATTCACAGGTTTTGTAATTAAACACAAAATATGATTTTAAGAAACCAAAAATACATTATTGGTAGGCATATATTAGGGACCAAGAGAGACATTCATACTCAAATTGTATGTGCTAAAAGGAATATGTTGTATAACAACTTCAATGTCAATGTTAGAATAATTAATAATTTTCATGTCTGTTTCAACAGAATATTTACTGCAACCCTGTACTTTTTGAGTTTATAGCAAGAAAAATTACAGGATAGAAAATTTATCTCTTATTTTTTTAAAAGAAAAATTTTGATATCAGGTAAACAATAGTACATTACAATAGCATTGATTCCCCCCCCTCAAGATCAGTGATAATCAATAAAAATCTACTATGTACAAAACAAAAATTAAAAAATTAAATTAAAACAAAAAAGTGTTGCTATGACAACAGTTTCAGTATAAAATACCATATTTGGCAACAAACAGAAAATCAATTGTTAAAAGAATGAAGACAGGCAGAATTGCATGGTTTCATTTTCATAGATAATTAATAAATGAACAACTCTTAGGGTTTGAGGTTAACATTGATAAAATGCCATACACTGCGAGGTATTTGATATTTATGTTAGTAAAATATTACATGATATTTATGAAGTCTACAGTCTAATAAGGTATATTTGTACAGTTTATGTATGTGTTGCCTATCAAATGGTGCAGATCAAAAAAGCTAAAGCAAATCATTTCATGTGATAAAAAAATGGGATCATGAAGCATGCAATTTGTAAAATGGCACAATTTGTCATTTAATAATCGTTGCTGAAGTGAGAACATTAAACAAAATAAAACCAACCCATGTTATGTAAGTCATATTAAAATGTTTAAAATTCATTCACATGAGGCAATAAAAATGTTTGAAAACTAACAAGTATACCAAAAATGAAGATCAACCATGGGAATGTTTCTGCAAGCAGGGATTGCAACATTTCAAACTGGGATGTAACATTTCAAACTGGGATGTAACATTTCAAACTCATATAGATGTGCAAAAAAAAAAAAAGAAACCTTTCATTGCATGCATCTACATAAAGATATATAATCTAGATAATGTACTGTAAAAATATGCATCTCATTTCTATACCATATTTTATAAGCTGTTACAGAGTACAGTATTCCTCATGGTATGCCAGCCAACATTATACCCTGCTTTAACAGCTAATCAGAGTTAGAGTGACAGCTCAACCTAATATCCGATGTCCTAATTCATCCTGTAACTCAACATGACTCAAGTTTCTAAATTCAGCATCAAGAAGACTGCATGACTCTAGACCTGAACTGTGTCACTATAGCAAGAAATAAAGGTGAATTTCAGTATATGCAACCTCTGTTCTGTAACTGAACCCCAGTTTAATCATGCATGTTAGAGACGTATGTAACCCATAGATTTTACAGGGGGCCAGACAGCCCAATCAGTTAGAGACATACGTAACCCATAGATCTTACAGGGGGCCAGACAGCCCAATCAGTTAGAGACATACGTAACCCATAGATCTTACAGGGGGCCTGACAGCCCAATCAGTTAGAGACATATGTAACCCATAGATCTTACAGGGGGCCAGACAGCCCAATCAGTTAGAGACATATGTAACCCAGAGATTTTACAGGGGGCCTGACAGCCCAATCAGTTAGAGACATATGTAACCCATAGATCTTACAGGGGGCCTGACAGCCCAATCAGTTAGAGACATACGTAACCCATAGATCTTACAGGGGGCCCGACAGCCCAATCAGTTAGAGACATACGTAACCCATAGATCTTACAGGGGGCCTGACAGCCCAATCAGTTAGAGACATACGTAACCCATAGATCTTACAGGGGGCCTGACAGCCCAATCAGTTAGAGACATACGTAACCCAGAGAGTTTACAGGGGGCCTGACAGCCCAATCAGTTAGAGACATATGTAACCCATAGATCTTACAGGGGGCCTGACAGCCCAATCAGTTAGAGACATACGTAACCCATAGATCTTACAGGGGGCCAGACAGCCCAATCAGTTAGAGACATACGTAACCCATAGATCTTACAGGGGGCCAGACAACCCAATCAGTTAGAGATATATGTAACCCATAGATCTTACAGGGGGCCAGACAGCCCAATCAGTTAGAGACATACGTAACCCATAGATCTTACAGGGAGCCCGACAGCCCAATCAGTTTGAGATATACGTAACCCATAGATCTTACAGGGGGCCCGACAGCCCAATCAGTTAGAGACATACGTAACCCATAGATATTAGTCCCGTAAGTAAATTGATTGCAAAATTCTTGTTAACCAGGCACACAGACAGACTGTAAAACCTATATTAATATCTACTTCTTACTTACTTATTTAACTGGTAAAGATACCTTGACTGATCCAACAATGTAAAACATTTATTTACAACATATAACAACCTTATAAGTAGAAAAGAAATAACAACAGTGCAGACAAAATTCTTTGTCAAATTCTTGTGTCAATCTGCACCTTTTTTCAAAACAACATAAAAATTCACCAAGGCATTGAACTCTAGTAACAATGATAAAATATCTTCAGTAAAATAAATGTAATGCCATAAATAACGAGAGAAAAGTGAGGATATATCACAACATCTACACACAGTACACACTATAAGGCAGAACTAGTACCAGCTAGTGACATCTCTACTAGGTTCACCATTCCTCCTCAATACATGCAGAACTGTCATCATTTTTGTCTATACTGGCATACTGGGTACTAAAACTTTCCATATATACTTTATTCTAGTTTTAAATTGAGCAGTTCAGTTAAATCTACCTATCTTTTAACTTTCTACTGTTCCTCACTGTAATTTTGATGGTATTGCGTTGATGTACTTTATCTGACAATTCTAGTTGGTATATGTATCTAAGTTACATCGAGTGGAGAAATTAATTCTAAGTCTATATGGTACATCTATGTATCAACCCTCACAATCCAAAGGCCACTGTATTCTTTGACAATGAGATTAAGACTTGGTGATTGACAGTTAAACAATTTTGTGGTTACTGGAAATGTTTCTCTCCATGAAGGACAGCTGAACAACAGACAAAAAGGATGACAATAAAAGAGTATATTATGCAGGTATTATGGTTCAGGATGCCCATCCAAATATCATACTTACATACAAATAGTCAAACGGTCCTCGAGCCCGTCGGGCATGGGCAGACATTGTCTACGGTAGAGGTGGGGAAAACAGGTTGTATTGCACAGATGTTACTATAGCTACTGGCTACAGTACATACAGGTATCAATACTTCATTTGTAATCTCTATAATGGTCTCTTTTGGCTAGGCATGCAGACTGGGAAATCTTTTATAATAATACTGCATAAACATGCTTGACAAAAAGTCTTATTGTAATCTATTCCTAAGTATAAATGTTACTACAGGGGTTGTGACATTTTGTCTAAATAGAAACTAAATCTATTCAAATCTATTCAGATTTTATTTCCGACATGAAAATGGGATATTAGTAAACCCACCATAGCATTGCCTGTTAGTAGCTGTCTCTCTACCTCCACTGGGTTCTGATTCAGCCAAAACTCAGCTAAAATCTGGAATTCAAAAAATATACACATTTTTTCTAAACAGCTTTGATGATAGCTTAAGGTAACATGCAATGTGAAAATTTGTGAAATTCAGATACAAAATGACATCTTTGGATTGTTACAAATTCATTATAGAGTATATATTGGGAACATTGTTTTAACCAAGATGATCCAAGCTCAAACTTTTACAAAGGCAAACAATGGAGAGTATTTATGTGACATCTAATGACATTAGAATACATACAGGTGATAGAGTTGAACTTCAACATGTCACTCTTGATGAAATTGATTTTATAAGGTGACAACACTAGCACATTTCTGTTTTAAGTAAAATCATATTACTGGTGTACTACTGACCTGGAGCAATGTTTCCGAACGCCATGTTTCAGCCTCACTCTGACCAAAAACAGGTGATCCCTGGGAATGTTGTTTCGGCATGGTTGTAAAGCTTGACTTCAGTAGACCTAACCTAGACCTAGTCTTGGGTGGCGTCACATTGTTTGGTGATTTACTTCTGAAAAACAAACCTCTGAGTGGTCAGAAGTGTGGGTTACTCAAATCATTGATGATTCCAACACTTCTATATCCATTTGTATATATTCCTGGTGAATGCAAGAATAGATTGTCATTGCTTACCCTATGATTGAGTGTGCCATTGGACTTCGCATGGGAGAGACATTATGGGGGATCGCTGGCAGACTGTCTTTGTGTAGTGGCAAGAAGTAGTTAAGATAATCGTCTAGGAGACAAGGATATAAACAGTCTGTCAGCGTGTTCCAACTCGGGTTCCTTTTCTGCCAAGCTGGACTTACCAGGCAATACACAAAGTGGAACATGTAACACTCAAATGCATCTGACAAAGGTCAAGGTCATAGAATGTGAATCAATCTCAAGGTTACAAACATGTATGGTGATTATCACCATCAACATATATTTACATTTAAAACACTGTCATGGTCATGCCTACAAGTTTATATTCCAAAAAGGATATTTAGCACCACCGTTGGTCGCCCATAATTCTGATACTGTAACTTATTGGCATAAAATAGTGGAATCCCTCCTTCCTCAATGATGTTTCTAGTAGGGGTCTACAACAGTATAAACATGGATCACCACCTTCAATTTAATCCAATGTGAAATAAAACCAGACACAGTTACTGAACAATGAGAAGACCTCAATATGAATGGATGATTAGATTATAGATAATAAGAAAATAGAAAACAACAAGTGTTGTCTTATATATTGGTACACTGATGTTAATAAGGAGAAATTCACAAATTAGAACATGGAATAATAAGTAGTAGGCACATAAGCAGATATTGTTCAATTTTCTATATATATGTAATACTTTTTTCAATGTATACATAAGAGATGGAATAGTATTTGTTCACTGTTACAACATATATTGTGATAAAAGTTTCTCAAAACTATCACATTCTGACTGAAGAGTGAAAAATATGCTGGCTACTTACAGGTAAATATCTTGTTGGAAATTCATAGCTGATGTACTGGTCTCCTTGTAGACTACTAATCAGTGTAAAAAGTGGACCCTCAGGACCTAAAAGTTTCCTAACAGCATCAAAGTCATGTGTGTTAGTAGAACGACAGAGCATGTCCAGTCCCCATCCAGGCTCCAAATCCAGGCCAAAGATGTGCTCTAACAGGTCTGGGAGAGCATTTCTCAGCTCCTATATACAGCATCAAACATAGATTGAGACTTTTACTTATTGCATCTAATCTTCAATCTAAAATAACCACAGATTTTCACCAGTTGAAATTAAACTTTTTTTTATACATGATGATTATAAATTTACACAGGAATGAAAACCTTTTTGGACAGTATATGGCTACCTTTTGAAGTGGTATGGTAGCATGTGCATATTACAGATAGAGACTAAGTACAATTATTCTTAAATGAAATGCAAAGTTTGAGGAAATAACTTATTGATAAAAAATGTATATACCTTCCCTCCTGATGACTGGATGATTGAGTCTACTTCTACACATCTTTGGGCAATTGATTTAATTGCAAGGTTTTTCAAACGTATCTATAAAACAGAAGAAAGTACATGCAAATTAAAAATATGTGTTCCTTTATTACATATATATCATATTAATTACATAAATGTCCTAAGTATTTAATGAGGAAAAAATATGTTGTCTCCCTTTGATGTAAGAAAAACAATAAATCTACCCATCCTTTCATCTGATATAGATTCCACCAACACTGTACTTAAGAGGCCAATGTATGGTGTCATTAACCTCAGAAAATATATTGAAAAAGTTGATATTTTTCTAAATTTAATTGACAAAATTTTGTAACAAATGAAATCAAAAGGCTATGATGGTTTTATATATACAGTATATACATGATCAATGGACTATAAAATTACTGCTAAATCAATCACTGGATATGTAATTGCAAAGAGATCCACTCTCCAGCATTCCTTTCTACAGGGATTACCATGATAAATGAGGTCTTCTGTCTTTTATTTCAAATTCTTTTCATCTTCATGACAAACATATTGCTTTGATTGTTACCAGGATTCATATTTAATTTAACAGTATTGAAACAAATACAAATAAATGGTGCTTCCTTCCTAGGTACAGAAATGCATGTCTCTATTAGTGAACCCAAAAAATAAAAGGAAATTAGTTACAACCCTGATAAAGTGTAGAACAATATACACATGTACAAGCAATTTCTAAAATCTAGATGAAGTTTAGGAACAGAGATGTGGTTGCTGCAAATAAAACATATCAACAAAACTTAGCTGAATCATTGTTTTATAGGTTACTAGTTTATTTCTATGAGACCATCACGACAGTTTTACAGTTAGTTTCAACACGACTGAAAATGAGTCATGAAAAATAATCAAGTCCTTTGAAACATTTGAATACATACAAATAGCACTGTTTTGTCTTTTTGCATGACACGGCTTCATGTGAAATTCTGTCATTTGTGTAATGCACATGCATATTCCCTAATTAGTTTGTGCACCTTTTTGATAAATGTAAAATTTTTTTCAAACTTTTCAGAAGTACAGTACTGTATAATCTCTCTGACAGGAGATAAAACTCTGTCAGTTACGATTACTACATTCTTTTCTTGTAGTGACAGTTATAATTGCTGCACTATCTTATTCGTATTAATACCAGGTTATCAAGGCTATGCCTTAAATCATTAATTCTCATAATATCAGCACTTTGTTTTGAGTTGGATGGGGTCATATCTCTGGTTTTATAAATGCTGGTGTTAATCTCAGTGAAGATCCCTCCATGTTTTTGTTTCTACGCGAGAATTGTCTCCTGTAAGACTGAATCAACAGCTGATTGATCTGGTAGAATAAGAGAACACAGATGTAATTCTTCCCTTCACACTATAAAAAATGTTTGCACTTAAAACAATCTCTGGGAAAACATGTACATTTCTATATTTCTATCCATCAATTTTGATTTCATAGCTCTCACCATTTATATTTCATTATTTCAAGCCTTTAGCAACACACACAAGCCTTAGGATGAAACAGCTATATGACACAGTTTAACTCATTATTTGGCTCTACAGTATCTCTATTCTAAATATGTAATAAATTCTCTTGTGCATCTTTTTACAGTTCCTTCTATTGGCCAGGTGGAGTATTCATAACAGTAACAGAAAAAAAAAAGATTAGTACACTGGTTTAAATGATATAACACATTTAAATTATTACTGAAATTTATATCCAAGATAAGAGCTGAAAGGGGTGTAAATTATTTTTTCAAATAATTTGCCCTTTAAAATCCACTTGCCCATGAATAATTTAGAAATCTAACTTGTTAAAAACAAATTTAAGAAGAAAAATATTTTTTGAAATACTGATATTCTTACATTTAAATGTTTATAAAAATAATTCAGGTTTTATTTTTCTATAACAAACAGAAACATCTTTTTAAGTCTTAATTTATTTTATCATTTTTATACATGTGATACTGCTATTTCAGATTTATCTCATAACTACATGATATCTTTTTCCATGCCACCAACAGAAATCTTCATAAAAAAAAAAACTTTGAAAGCTTTCTCACAATTCCAAGCTGATTTCCAAACTGACCAATGTCAGTAGTGGTGGAAGATACAATACAATTCGAGACATACATTTAAATGTTGGTTTTAAATGATCATTCAAACAGATTTCATAATGTGAATGTAGCATCTCGATCAGTTAGAGAATTCAGAACACAGAACACTAAGGCAGGTCCAAGTTTGAGAATTCAGTAAAAAAAAACACACAGCATTAAGACAAGTCAAATTTGAGATATTTTTATGAATGAGTTCTTACGCATTAACGTATCGTAGTAATGTCAAATCTGCTCGACAGAGGTTGCAATGACCCGAAGGTAACGATAGAGACACAAAGTGACGAAAGAAGTCCATTCGTAGCAAAACCGTCCAAAAAAAATCAAGATAATTTACCTTCCTCGTCCATGTCATAAATTAAGCTATATGCCAGTCTATAAAAATAATGGTACCTCTAAACTTTTTTCAATAAGTTTTCTTTTAAAAATCAACACAAAATCAAACAAAAATGAGATATACACAAAACAGCTTACTGATATGCTTGTACCGGCCGCAGTGGTGCTCGCCATGTTTTTTAGCCATTCGGTATTTATCAGATTATTATTATGAATTCATGATAGCTGCAGAGAAGTCCGAAAAAATGCTATTCAAAACAACCAATCAAAAGTGGCGTTACAAATTTAGCGTGGCTAATTTCCAAACCGGAATCATTTGGGTTTGAAACATGGCGGAAGCTGATAAGTTTCCAAACCTTAAAATATGCATAGATAACACAGAATCGGACGATGAAAATGCTGACGTCGTTTCCATTCACGAGGAAGAGGATTTAGACGATGACAGATACAACGCAAGTGATGACAGCGACGATAATGAGGTCGAATTTAATGTCCGTCTGGGAAACATTGGAAGGAACGACAAAAATAAAACTCGATCTCTAACAAAGGTGATTTACGCAGATGTTGGTTTCGTGTTTATTTTAACTTACTAGTGGACATAGTTAGTGACATAAATTCACATACATTTATACGTGGCTGTGATATTCTGTGATGCTTTCAATTTGTTTGTTGTTAGGACTCTTTAGTTTACACATTTCTGATAAATGCATGTATGAGGCACATGTACAGGTGTTCGAAATTCTGTCAATGAAATAATTTGATGGCCCTTATAAAAAAAAACCCTTTAGCGTAGAGGAATGACTATATTATAGTGATTATTTATTATTTTATTGATTGTTTGCATGCCAGACTCGTGCTACAATGAAAAATGTAAAAATCACTATTAAGTGTCTGTATATTGTGTACTTTAGACAACTGTGATTTTACCAAATTGCTTCTCATTTTATGATAATATAGAATAAGAGTTAAAAAAGAAATGACACTGATGATAATTACTAATATTACAGTGTTATTTTATTTAAGTATACTAGTTAGTTGTATTGCTTGTTTATGAAGTGAATAATTTGAGACAATGAATATGAACCTAACCATCCTGGTCTGAACATAAAGTTAACATTATTAGATGCAGGTCATCTAAGTTGCCTCCACACCATTTAGGTCTGTTTCAAAATTTAACAGGCACATATAGATAAAGCCACATTCAGAGTTTACCAAAATAGTGTCCTGCCTGTTAAAATTTGTTAAGAGATGAAATCATCACAGAAAATGCAAGTCCTTGTTCTTCAGTTACACATTATTAAATTTTCTTAGGTGTTATTTTGTTTCCAAACCATTTAGGTCTGTTTCAAAATTTAACAGGCACATGTAGATAAAGCCACATTCATAGTTTACCAAAATAGTGTCCTGCCTGTTAAAATTTGTTAAGAGATGAAATCATCACAGAAAATGCAAGTCCTTGTTCTTCAGTTACACATTATTAAATTTTCTTTGGTGTTATTTTGTTTGCAAAGTTACAAGTTAATGCTTTGACAATCAGTGTCTTATTTTATCATTTGATAATACAAGGTGGTAATGTCTTTGATTACAGCCACAGAGAGTTTATAAAAACAAGGATGGAGATTTCATCACTGGGGTAGACATCACAGATAAGGTAGGTATTTATGTGTCAGATTTGTTGTTTAACAGTAAGTTATATGTCAAAGTAAAGTTTGTGTCTGCTGTTATGACATAGTGTATAGGTCAAGATGCCTGTTATCAGAAAGAATATTTCAATAAAGTCTTAATAATTGTGTAGCCTTGTTGTTTGCAATGTACTGGTCATGAGCCTTTTCTCACCAATACCCATGAAACACATGCCTTAGTGAGAATGGGTATTTAGTGAGAATAGGCCAGGAAGCAGTGTATATATACCTATCACAATGCACAGTTCTTCTAAGATTTTAAGGATATGGAGAGAATACCCTATCTAGGGAAAACTCAGAAAATTTCAGAGATCCACAGACCTAGTATATATTACCATCCTAAAGTACTGGTAGTGAAAATGTATAGCAAATTCACTACATTTTTTACCACAGCTTTGTGAGACATTAGACTTGCTATACTTATGGCAGATCAATACTTGAGGCAGTGATTCCTACAGGAAATTATGATCGTAATGAAATATGTGTAATATGTTATGATTAATGTTATTTTTCAGACAGAGAGAAAGAAAAGACTTGAAAGGGCAAAGAGATTTGGTGTTAATGAAAAAGTGCAACAGAAATCTGTGGTCAATCTCAAACGACTATACAGAAGGTAGATAAATACAGTCAATATGAGGGATGGTATAGATATAATATAGTTGATAACACATGATTTACAGTCAGTTTCAGTATTCTGTAAAGATGCGATAATAACACACAATACCACATGGGATCCATTGGAAAAACAAATATAATTAACTCACAGTAATGACACTGAGGTATAACGCTAAGTAAAATGCTAATCTAGAATGACTGCTAACCAATAAAGATATCTGTTTTCTGTTTCATATTAGAGGAGATATTGAATGTTTCTAAATTTCAAAACTCTCTGCAGCCTAAATACGGTATATAACCCCTGAATTTGTTAGCACTTCAATGGCTTACTTTCTGACTGTTTTGAATTGTTTTAGTTTGGGTTTGGATGAAGACAAACCAGAGAATGATGAGCGTGGGATTCGTCTGGAGGCTGTTCATATACGTGGTGTGAATGACATGAGTAGCAAAGATGTGTTTGATTACTTCAAGGAATTTTCCCCTGGGGAGATTGAGTGGATTGATGATGCTTCCTGTAAGTATGGCTGTTAGAATTCTAGCCTACGATAAAACTTACAGGGCTGGAACGGATTAAGTATGCTACGCTACAGAAATATGGATAAGTAAAAACTTGCAACTTTTATTTGAAACAGTATCAAAGTATCTCTGATTCAAATATGATCACAAAGTTAGTCAATGTGAAGCAATGATTCAAGCTTCACAAGTGTTCCTTATCTGGAGCTTACCCTGCGGGGAGTTGTCCTTAGGAGGGAAAAAAATCAGTATATCTGTTGGTCTCCTGTGCACAATTTCACACGAATGATCTGCCTTACACAACGATAGTTACTTATTTGGATGTAAATGTAAATAAAAGATCATTGATCTGTTAATCATCTCCTTGTATCAAACATTGAAAGATTTGATGACAGGCCTGTAGTGTTCTAGATATGTTTAAGTGAATTAAAGCTATAGTTATAAAGTCTGGATTTGCTTTACTGTTTAAGGATGTATTATATTGTAATAGAGTTAGTAATGGAGTATCGTTAGACTTACTAATTAAAATCTAGAAGAGGAAATTCTGACATTACTTATCTGCATTTTTGTACAATCTATTATAAATGTGTATTTTACAGGTAATGTGGTATGGCAAGATACACTGACAGCTGCACGTGCAATGATCAGCTGTAGTATTAGTTATGATACTGCAACAAGTGAAGGCAAACTCCAGAGTGAATTGGAGAGTAGTGAAGATTCGGATACAGAGTCAGTAGGTAAAGTAGACAAACTCCAGAGTGAATTGGAGAGTAGTGAAGATTCAGATACAGAGTCAGTAGGTAAAGTAGACAAACTCCTGAGTGAATTGGAGAGTAGTGAAGATTCGGATACAGAGTCAGTAGGTAAAGTAGACAAACTCCTGAGTGAATTGGAGAGTAGTGAAGATTCGGATACAGAGTCAGTAGGTAAAGTAGACAAACTCCTGAGTCACTCATGGAGTAGTGAAGATTCAGATACAGAGTCAGTAGGTAAAGTAGACAAACTCCAGAGTCACTCATAGAGTAGTGAAGATTCAGATACAGAGTCAGTAGGTAAAGTAGACAAACTCCTGAGTCACTCATAGAGAGGTGAAGACTCGGATCAGAGTCAGTAGGTAAAGTAGACAAACTCCAGAGTGAATTGGTGAGTAGTGAAGACTCGGATACAGAGTCAGTAGGTAAAGTAGACAAACTCCAGAGTCACTCATAGAGAAGTGAAGATACGGATACAGAGTCAGTAGGTAAAGTAGAAAAAAAACTCCAGAGTCACTCATAGAGAAGTGAAGACTCGGATCAGAGTTAGTAGGTAAAGTAGACAAACTCCAGAGTCACTCATAGAGAAGTGAAGACTTGGATACAGAGTCAGTAGGTAAAGTAGAAAAAAAACTCCAGAGTCACTCATAGAGTAGTGAAGATTCAGATACAGAGTCAGTAGGTAAAGTAGACAAACTCCAGAGTGAATTGGAGAGTAGTGAAGATTCAGATACAGAGTAAGTAGGTAAAGTAGACTCCAGAGTCACTCATAGAGAAGTGAAGACTCGGATCAGAGTTAGTAGGTAAAGTAGACAAACTCCAGAGTCACTCATAGAGAGGTGAAGACTCGGATCAGAGTTAGTAGGTAAAGTAGACAAACTCCTGAGTGACTTTGAGAGAAGTGAAGATTCGGATACAGAGTTAGTATGTAAAGTAGACAAACTCCAAAGTCACTCATAGAGAAGTGGAGACTCAGATACAGAGTTAGTATGTAAAGTAGACAAACTCCAGAGTGACTTAGAGAGAAGTGAAGACTCAGAGAGTTAGTAGGTAAAGTAGACAAACTTCAGAGTCACTCATAGAGAAGTGGAGACTCAGATACAGAGTAAGTAGGTAAAGTAGACAAATTCCAGAGTCACTCAAAGAGAAGTGGAGTCTCAGAGAGTTAGTAGGTAAAGTAGACAAACTCCAGAGTAACTTAGAGAGAAGTGGAGACTCAGATACAGAGTAAGTAGTTAAAGTAGACAAACTCCTGAGTGAGTTAGAGAGAAGTGAAGACTTCAGAGATTCAGAGTAGACAAACTTCAGAGTAAAGTAGATACAAACTTCTGAGTGACTTAGAGAGAAGTGGAGTCTCAGAGAGTTAGTAGGTAAAGTAGACAAACTCCAGAGTAACTTAGAGAGAAGTGGAGACTCAGATAGAGAGTTAGTAGTTAAAGTAGACAAACTCCTGAGTGAGTTTGAGAGAAGTGAAGACTTGGATTCAGAGTTAGTAGGTAAAGTAGACAAACTTCTGAGTGACTTAGAGAGAAGTGGAGTCTCAAGAGTTAGTAGGTAAAGTAGACAAACTTCTGAGTGACTTAGAGAGAAGTGGAGTCTCAAGAGTTAGTAGGTAAAGTAGACAAACTCGACAATTACACGAAGAGTTGGTTAGGATACTACTTGTGAGTTAATTATAGGTTTTCATTCTCCATGACTCTTCCTATTCTTAGGTGTTATCTCACCATTAGGGATCTACATCTATCCTGCAACAACATTCTAGATATTTCTTGGCAACATGAAGATATCGGGATATAAATAAATATTGAAAGGCTTCATAGAATTGGATATAGGGATGTTAGCTGTGATAAAGAAAATAAATGATGGATATATTAATAGTGGTATTTGTCAATTATGGATTTTAGCATGTAAGAATGAACTTTATGTTGAGCCTAAGACATAGAATTTTTGTTGTTAATTTGCATTTGTTTATTTCTGATTTATTTACACAGATTTCTATTTGTGTGTAGGTAAAAAAAACTCTAGGAAAAAAGTGAAATCTAAGACCAAAAAGTTAAGACGGAGCAGTAGCAGAAGTTCCTCTTCGTCATCATCTTCATCATCCTCTTCATCATCTTCATCTTCTTCAAGTGATGAAGATGATGACACAAAGAAGAAATCTAAGAAGAAAGAAAAAGCAAAAAACACAGAAGAAAGGAAAGAAGAGAAGATGGAGGATGATGATGTGTTAGATTTGATGGACGATGGTGTTGTTAGTGTAAACAGAAACATCAGTGAAACAAAGATTGTAAAAAAAGACAGTAAAAAGACAGAGAGTAAAAATGAGAAACAATCAGACAGCTTAGTGAAAAAATCTTCACGTAGTGAAAAGAAAAACAAAAAAAAGAGAGACTCTTCATCAAGTTCTAGTAGTTCATCATCATCGTCATCTTCATCATCTTCGTCAGGTTCTTCATCCTCATCATCTGGTTCATCGTCTTCATCATCTGGGAGCAGTTCTTCTAGTAGTTCAGAGGAGGTAATTTGCCAAATTTTAAGACACACATGACACAAAAATATGTCAAATTGTCATACACATTAGTCACATTGTCACACAAACCTTTACCACATGGACACACATACGTATGTCTCTTTCACTTGTCACATTGTCACACATATTTATTCTTACACTTTTGTCACATATTTACACTTACCTGTGAAATACACAGTCGCGTCACATTATCATACATACTTGGAAATTGCACTCTTGCCACAATGTCACACATACCTTTAAGTGTCATGTAGTTACACATGCTTGTCCTTTACAAATCCTTCTGACACCTGTATAATGACCTGGTATAGAAATCAGACATTTACCATGATAAAACAAAGTTCAGTAGTGTGATTAAATCAACTCTGTTGTATTATAGATTTATTATTTAAAGTTTTAACTTTTGTTTTCTGACATTTGACTGTAGAATTAAGAAGATGATTAGGAATCACAGTAGATTTGATTATGATGTATAAATAAAATAAACCATTTAGAGCATAAACTTCACTGTACTTTTACATGAACTGGAAATTTTTATCAATCAGTCTTTTACATGTTGAGAAGAATTGTTAGAAAAAAAGTCATTTTGAAGCATTCATTGATAAACTTACATAAACAATTTTGTTTCTGCAGGAAATGGATGAAGAAAAGAAACAAAATATGCTGAAGAAAAAAAATGAGAAAAAAGCTAGGAAGAAAGCAAAACTTCGAAAGCATTTTCAGGTCCACAAAGAGTCTAATATACCCTGGCCTCCGGGTAAATGGCGACTGGGCAAGGTCATCCCCAAGGCGAAACATATATTCCTGCGATACTCAACTAAAGGTGGGCATTATGTTGCACCAATGAAAAGTATGTTGTGACAAATTTGAAACATCTCTGCAGTTATTGTTACAAAATTATGATGCCATGTTATTGGTATTAGGGCATGTGTTCCTTAGTGCAAGATCAGAGTCACAGTGAAAGTTCAAGGCATTGATATTAAGTTCAAGGTCATCATAAAATAACAGTATGAAGCGATGGGATTGTTCACAAAATTTAATGTCTTCATAGGAAACCTGGAGCCTCAAATTTTGAGGCAATAATGTAAAAATCATGAATGAACTTGTGTTGTAACGATTCATCATAATGGTCCATGGCACAGGTTGTAGTCTTGGGCTGGTTTTTTTTTTTGGCTTCACCAGTTAAACCAGCGTTGTTCATTTTCTGAAATAAGGAAGGATCTACTAATCTTATCTTGCTTTCTGACAAGCTTTGACTAAGCCTTTCAAAGCCTGTATTAATATTTACAAGTCCGTTGCCATTTATATTCAAAATGTTAGGCCCAAGGATAGAAAATCATACATTCTTTTCTTGTTAAAACTGTGTATGAACACAAATCTTGGAAGAGAAATGATCCCTGTGTGATTTATCAATGGGACTTTTGACAGCGCCAACAAGTCTTTGAGGTCTAGTAGTAAAAAGATCCAGCTTGGTTAACATGTGGTTTTTATTTTGTTACAGCTGATAAAAAATTGAGAGGAGCAGAGAAAAGGAGTGAATATTACAAGAAATTTGGAAATCCAAATTATGGAGGTATGTGCTTTCTGTATCTTAATATTCTGCATAGATTTAAGAAACTGTTACTCTGTTATTGTATAGTTTGTGTATAATAACTTACATATAAGCAGTATCAAATTGGTTAAATTTGAGAATGTTTATGGGAATGAAAACAGTTGTGATAGTGGATGTTTATTGTTTACTGTTTGAAAATTAAAGGAATGTATTGTTTAAAGTTAGAGAAGGAGATGGTGTATGCAGGAAAATTTCGTTCCTTTTGTCAAACAAATTTCGTAAATCTAGTGAAGTCATTTTTATGAAATTTTTTTTTTCTATTTTAGGAATGACGGGACTTATCAGCAATTCCAGGTTGGTAATGATGAAAGTTATTTATGATTCATATAAATATTGCTTTCTAAATATATTTCACTGTTATAGATGCATGGCGTAGCATCCATTTGTCCACTTTTGCTTTCCACTGACTCCATAGCTTTTCGACTCTGACAAAACCTGGACTATCTGTTGATGACGAGGACTGTTGTATAAATTTAGGATCTGTCACTTGCAGAGGAAGAGAGTATTTGCCCAATTATGGAAATAAAGATAAATTTTCTATATTCTTCTGTACAGACAAATGTATTCTGAGCAATCTAGAGATGGTTTAGAGCATTATTTGGTGTATTGGACTACCTCTTGTATTCATCGAAGGTTTGGCCCTGATGGGAGCAGAAAGCTGGAGTTAGATCAGGGTAATAGTCGTCCATCTTTAAGATCATTGTTCCTCTAAAATCAAAAAGGATTTAGACCTACATTGTTAGCTGGTTTGGGTTAGTATTTGATGGAGAGGACAGAAATTGTGTAAGATAGCGTTATACCAGTCTTCTTTTTGGTAGAAGTTTGGAGTCAAATGATAGAAATAATAGCAAATATTTAAAATCTTTCTTTTTCCATATAGATGATTGATTTGGTCTGGATTGTCCTTTGTAGGGACTTGGTATTACATGTTTTTATAACCAGAATATCTACTTCTTCATGAACTGTGTTGCCCATGTTCCCCTAGGACTGCATATGAGTCAGAACACAAAATGGGGCAACATTCATCAAATATCAAGTATAGGAAAAAAGAAAAAAGTCAAGAGGATAACATTTTACCTGTAACTGGATTTCTTACTTGTAAGAAATATTGCTTTTGATCCAATTTAAACAGAAAGAGGAAGATGCGAGTGACGCAGCAGCGTGAGGAGGCTAAGGACCTTAAGGCTGTCATACAAGCCAAGCGTGCAACTATTACATATGATGATGTCAACATCTTTGGGGATTCATCTTTTACTGCAAATGTGGATATGGATGAAATTGAGGAGTTTGGTAAGATATCAACTGACTAGTATAAAAATGATACTTGGAAATACATACACTAATTGTATAACGAAGACTGCAAACATTGTGATTTTAATATGGTTGATAATTATCATGATTTAAGAGAAATAAAGTAATTTTTTACATTGAAAAATTGATTGAAATGTGTAATAAAAGATTAATAATTAAGCATGCTACTTCTGACATTTTGGGACTAGGTGCTGCCAAGGAAGTGAAACCAGACATCACAGCAGGCCTGACAGGCCAGCGGGTTAATCTGGATCAGCACGAGATGGAGGAGGGAGAGATAGAAGACAGCGAATCTGAGGAGATGGTACAGCCTATTAGCCGCCAGCGGGATATCCAACCAAGAGATATTCGACCAAGGAATGTCCGACCAAGGGAAGATCGTCGCCAGGTAAAACAACAGGAGGATGACGATGATTTCCTGGACCTCACAGCTGACACAAAGCCACCGGTGAAGGAGGTGGATGAGGAGGCAGTCATGATGGAGAAGGAACTGGATATTCTCCTAGCTTCACCACCACGGAAACGTAGTATGAGGATGTATGCAGATGACATCGAGGATGAGAGGAATGCGAAAAAGTAAGAGAGATATAAATATATATGTGTCCAATTATTGTTTTTTTATTTTGAACCTGTTATTTGAATAACTTCAACTTGTTCAGATGCTCTGAATTGTTAAGTAGGTTTGGGACAGTAGAATCATCAGCTTTCAGTTTTCAATCATAACACGTACTTCATTTTTGATGGACTCAAATATTGAAGTTTCATCTTTTTTTAAGAAGTTTTGAGATTTGGAATTGCGAAAGTATTTTTGAACCTGAAAGTGAAGGTGTATTAAGCAGGCATTTGAGAGGAGGATCCTATGAAAACATTCAAAACTAAAGACTTATATTCCCTTGGCACTATTGGAGTTGATTTGCCACTCTCATTTACAACATTCTAGACAGATATATGACACAGTAATATGTTTTCATAACACAGAGTTATCCTTGGAATGAAAGTTTTCGTTTAACAAGTCATTGAAATGTTTTTCTACAAAAGGTATACTTCCAAATTAATTCCTAGGAGTATTCTCAATTTATGTTGAATTTGAGCACTTGTTTGCTTTAAATTTTTGAAAGCTCTGAAAGTCACTAACCTGTATGGTATATTTTAAACTTTTCTCTTACAGTATGAAAAGAAGTGATATTGACTTAACAATTTTTGCTGACCGTGAGACAGACAGAAAAGTTGGTCTGCTTGATGATGACGACAGTCCGCCTCCTTCTCGTGTACAGGATGCGCGACAGAAGATCCGTAGTGTGGGCAGGACATTTGGCAGTGCTTACATGGATGGGTCACCTCACAGGAGTGGCAATGATCTCCGTAGTAAACTCCAACGACGGAAAAATGGAGGCAAAGACAATTCAAAATATCAGCGTATGAGGATAGAAGTGTATGACTGACGTTATTGTGGGGTTGTTGTTTTATACTGGAGGACTGAATGTCTGGGTAAACAGTGTATCAAGCTGAGGAAGACATGCAGACATATGTGAAAGTTTGTTGCTTGAAAAGAGTTTGTGTTGGATATTTAAAAGGAAATGTGTTAAAAAAATCTGCCTTTTTAGAGGCAAAATATATGATTTATGACTGTTTATGTTACTGTATGATTAAATAAGAAAGGATTTCAAGAAGATTTTCAAGAAGACAAACATATCAGAAATGATGATGAAGGTACTTTTTAATGGGTATAAATTTTCAAGAATTGCATTCGTTTGTGAGATTTTAGTCAAGCAAATCACCAGTTAACTTAAATATCTTTGTATGGTTAAGTTTTTAAGATGGAGTGTAGTGTGATTTTACTCATCTTGTAAACAGGTTGAGAAATACCATTAAATGTAGACTATTTGTCACCAGTGTTTTATAGGACAAGTTATTAGTTGTATTTTAAACAGACATGGTCATCATGGGATGAAGGGCAACCAACTTGGTTAAAATGAATGACTTTGACCCACTTTCAAGGTCACAGGGGTCAAATCTGTTGAAATAACTTCTTCTCAATTAACAAAATACACAGGATTCTACAAAGTTTTTCCATATCATTTACCTACTTTAAAGGTCACAGGTATCAAATATGTCAAAATTTTTAAATGACTTCTCCTCAGTACCAAAAGACCAAGAGTGCTGATATTTGGCCTGTAGCATGCTAGAATGAAGGGATGAAGGTCTATCACATTTGTTCAAATGAATGGCCTTGACCTTTATTCAAGGTCACAGGAGTAAAATATGCAAAGCTACTCTAACAGAGAGCGTTATCAGTTCCATTTAAAAACTTTAAGTATGCAAATATCAGTTCTGCTCTGTCTGTCTAAACGCTGGGACTTATGAACAGGTTCTATAACTGTCCAAAGACCTGAAAAGCTCAGGTGATCATTAAGGCCCATGGGCCTCTTGTATGAAATACTGTCTGTATGCAAACTTACAGCTTTTTACTGATGTAAGATATATAAATGTATGTATATGCCTAAACTGCAAGACTTCTGGAAATATGTACACGTCTTAAAATATGTATACATATACTATGATTTCTTATGAAAGCTGTGATTTTGGATTTATTTTTAAAGTTCTAGCATTTTAACAAACAGGAAAAAAATATAATTCATTCGATCAATGCAATTTGAGGATATTGCAGAAGTTTTATCAGGCATTAACCTCTAGTCATATGCCAAATGGCTAAATTTTTGCACTCTTGTGAATGTCAATGTGTAGATGTTCTGTTTTGCATTGGAATTTTACATTCATAACCCTACTTTCATTATTACTATAGCATAGACCGTGTAACAGCCATCTCAAACCAGTTTTTACTTTTGATAAATATCAAGCATGTTCACTTAAAATGCAGCAACTGGAATGGCTATCTGTGTTGGATGGAGCTTGGAGTGTTAAGGGATTGAACCTTGGCTATCCATGTATCTTTTGAAGGCTGGACTGTTAAGGTATTGAACCTTGGCCATTTGTATCTTAGGCTAGGGTGTTAATGGGTTAAACCTGGATATCTGTGTTGGAGTCTGGAGTGTTAAGGGATTGAACCTGGGCCATTTGTATCTTAGGCTAGGGTGTTAATGGGTTGAACCTGGATATCTGTTGGAGTCTGGAGTGTTAAGGGATTGAACCTGGGCCAGTTGTATCTTAGGCTAGGTGTTAATGGGTTGAACCTGGATATCTGTGTTGGAGTCTGGAGTGTTAAGGGATTGAACCTTGGCCATTTGTATCTTAGGCTAGGTGTTAATGGGTTGAACCTGGATATCTGTGTTGGAGTCTGGAGTGTTAAGGGATTGAACCTTGGCCATTTGTATCTTAGGCTAGGTGTTAATGGGTTGAACCTGGATATCTGTTGGAGTCTGGAGTGTTAAGGGATTGAACCTGGGCCAATTGTATCTTAGGCTAGGTGTTAATGGGTTGAACCTGGATATCTGTGTTGGAGTCTGGAGTGTTAAGGGATTGAACCTGGGCCATTTGTATCTTAGGCTAGGTGTTAATGGTTGAACCGTGGCTATCTTTGCTGGAGTCTAGGGTGTTGAGGGATTAAACCTTAGCTGTCTGTGTCAGAGTCTGAATCGTTGAAGGGTTGAACCTTGGCTATCAGTGAGGGAGTCTGGAGTGTTGAAGGATTAAACTTTGACTATATGTGTCAGATGCTGGAGTGTTCAGAGGTTGAACTTCAGTCAGCAATAACTGTGTTTGAGGCTGGAGTGTTAACCACTGAATGGTGTTTTGTTCATTTTGCTCTGAATCAATATCACATCTTGATAACCTACCAACACATTTGGCTTAACATCATGTTGTATCTAGGTTAGATGGATTACATAGAAGCTGTGGCTATCATGTTTTCCTGATGTTTTCTGGTTGTTTAATTTTGACATTTTGCATTTGATTTGATTTGTTACATTTGACAACTTTTGCTCCAATTTCTGATGTGCAATCATTAAGTAAGATGAAATAGGAATCATAATACCAACCTCATGTGATAATACACTTTCTCTCAAAAATGAAGTTCTATTTATTAAATAAATGTAGTTTGTATATAATTTGTGTGTCATTTTAAGCCAGACGTTGCCAAGAACTAGTGGTGGGATGTCTTTACCATGATTATGAAGGAGGTAGCCAACAGTTCAGCATTGTTTCATTTTAAGCACCCTCTTGGGATGATAAATTATTTTTACGGAAAGATGTACTAAGATTTTATAACCAGTCAGTCTCACATTGACTTTGAGATATTTTAAGCATCATTGCTATGAATTTCTTGGTTTAAGGAATAAACACAAGGCCCACTGGCCTTAATCATTGACCAGATTTCTTTATTGTTTTTAGCTCACCTGGCTAAACAGGCTGATCAAACTGAACCTATGGCATGGTGGGGTGACTGTCTGTCCACATTTTTTTTCTAGAAATCGCTGCTAAGTCATGAAAGATAAATTGGATTTTGATCAAATTTGGTCAGTAAATTCCTTTTGCGAAGGGAACAATTTGTGAAGGGGAACAATTTTGTATCAACAGTAGGTTTAGAACCTAGGGGCAGGCTCCAATAGGATAAATTCTTCTGTATGAATAACAAAATTTTGTCCAAAGTTTGTTCAGAACATTCTTCGATTGAAGAGTAATAAGAAGAGTAATCAATTCTGTATAAGCAGTAGGTCTGATTGTCATGGCGACGGAAACAAAATATAGATGAAAACCTTTGAAATCTTTCACCTTCACTTTGGATAAAGCAATTTTCAGCCAAACCAAACCTGTAATACAGGACATATAGGATTTTGAATCAAACCCTAAGTCATGGAAATGGGTCAAGGTCATTCAAATGAACTCACACCTATGGACTTTAGCAAGCTTCAAACTAATTATCAACATTCAAGACTTTCTTGCTTGGAAAGCTTTGAAGAAAAAATTTAACTAATTCTGTGCTTGTGACATTGAAAAAATGGTCAGCCTATATATAATTCAAAATATTACCAAAGTTCACTTGTGTCCAATTTTCAAAGCCTGGTAATGCACTCTCCCATCAATATTTCTGGACAATTAATATGCATTAATGTTATTTCATTGCCCTGCAATAAGCCCAGCACGAAGCTGAAGGAGATCTCAGATGTTGACCCTCTTGGCTGATTTTACTGATGAAGACAATTAATGAACTGAAATAAAGAGTTTAGGTCTTTTATATGATTTTATTAAGAAGGTTTATCTGTTTTATCTTGACAACTTCAAGTCATGAACAACCACAAAATAATAAAAAGCATCCTAAATATTTACCTGGATAATGAAATGTTTCAAATAGTCTTTAAAAACATGGAATTTTCTCATCACTAACAAGTGCTCTTGATCTACTGCTCTAGAAATCTTATCTGAGATGTAACTAAAGATTTCATGGGAAACAAGGTCACATGGTTTCTAGTCATCAATGGATTAATTAACAGTGATTACACAAAAATAACAGATTTTGTGAAATGGAATAATGTACATTAATATATTGCACTTTTTAGAAAATTTCATTAAATACTATATAGATGACACTCATCAAGGAGAAAATCATTTTACCTAGCCATACCTTAAAATGTACACTTTCTTGGGTCACAAATTTGGACTATTCAAACACTGATGAAACATCTGTCTTACATAATAACAAAGCTTCATCACATACACCAAGCAATCCTATACAGTCATCCATATAAACTGAACTTTCCTGTCATTCAATCACTTACAAAAAATATTCTCATACTTTTAATCACATACACCAAACATTCAGACACTCATCACACCAAACATCCTACTTCGAAACCCATGCAATTTTCAAACATTTCAATTAATGTGTTGCATATTTCTCCAACAGGTGCTCTGATTGGGCCCTCTAACACATTAATATGTCCTGTATTTCTCAAACAGGTGCTCTCATTGGGCCCTCTAACACATTAATATGTCCTGTATTTCTCAAACAGGTGCTCTCATTGGGCCCTCTAACACATTAATATGTCCTGTATTTCTCAAACAGGTGCTCTGATTGGGCCCTCTAACACATTAATATGTTCTACATTTCTCCAACTGGTGGTCTAACTGGCCCCTTGAACATCAATGGTGTAAAGGTTTTCTGTTGTATAGCATTTACCTCATATTTTACAGTACTTTGATATAGTTGATGCAAAGTGACAATATCGGCTACTGACCACTCATACTTCAAATGTGATATATCTCACCTGTATATAAATCTACACAATTCAATTATCTCTGACACAAAAATATTTTGTGATATAAAATGAAATCATTCCTGTCCAAGAATTGGCCAAAACAGATAGCAGTAAAGCATCTTCTATCCATGTTCTATCATAGTACTGACCAGGCACAACTGGGTCCCTTTATCCACATGTACTGGGTATTCTGTGGATCAAGCAGTCTCAGATTTGATCTGACAATAGTCTTGTCATTCATTTTTCCAACCAGTATTATGGGTTAAGGAAAAGACCCCAAGGTTTCAGAGATGTGGAGAATTGTAACTAGAAATCCCTTTTAATGTTCTGGGACTTGTGTCTGGTGACTACACAGTTTCCAGATTCTCCCTCACTAGATATTTGAGTAATTCTAATCAATTCTACATGTCCTTTCAGAATGGATTCATTTTTACTGCTATGAGTTCCTGTGCTATAGACTTAAGGAATGATGTCCCATTAATTATCTTTGTTGTGGAAATCAGGTAGTCTGTTCCTCCTACAACACAAAGCATCCCATGAATTAGAGCTAAAAACGCCAAATTTAATCACATGCCACAAATTAATTAGTAAAATTAAGGAGGGTTTATGATGTATTTTACTGAATAATAATTAAACATTCTTTTAAAAAATAACATCTTATATTTCGGTACATATTTATATGTGTTTGAATGGACATTCTAAATTTATCCTGACATGCAGAACCTCAATGTCAGGTAAGATGTTATATGTCTCTCTGATTAACATCAGTCAGTACAGTTAATCCTTTACCACATAGGATAATTAAAAGTTTGAATCAGAGAAATTATTGATATATACTTACCTTATGCTTACAAATTAGTAAATGTCAAACAAAATTTCAACAATTTGTTAGTTAACATATTCTCCAAACTACATCGACAAGCATTTAAGGAAAATGTCATGCAAGGCACATGCATAAAACTTCAGACGAAAGTGAACAAAACCTAGTTAAGATTAAATTGAAGATCTTATCATGGATCCTACGTTTGTGATAGTTATCTCTCCTTAATATCAGTGTGTTCTATGGACATAGGCATCCACGAGGTCAACAGGTTTGGAGTGCTCTATGACACTGTCCATGAGTTTTCGGCTATGTAGGATGCGTGTAGTAGCCACAATGTAGTCTGTTCCTCCTGGAATGGACATGCCCATAAAAAAGATGACATCAACCTGCCAGTATGTGTCAGTGCACCATGTAGAAACATAGATCTTTTGGAAGGAGTGAGATGGGGAGGGTAGGCACAAAAATTGTGAGGCGCTTGACATAGATATTGAGACAGGAGATGAGACAGGAGATGGGACAAGGATGAGTCAGGAGGTGAGACATGGATATTGAGACAGGAGATAGGACATGGATATTGAGACAGGAGATAGGACATGGATATTGAGACAGGAGATTAGACAAGGATATTGAGACCATATACCAGAAGACACAGGACACATGATTAAATACCATTTATCAAGGAGTTGCATTGATGTCCCCTTTCACTTTAACTTAAAAAAAGTTAAAAAGTTCAGCTACAAGCAGGCAATCTACAGAAATCAAAGTGAGTACCAAACATTTTGAAAGGAACATCACAAGTATAATGTAATAAAATACTGTATATTGGGAATTTTCTACTCGTGATTTGAAGTTTTGCGAAATTCAGCAACCCTTTCAAAAATCACGAAAACTTCAAATCAAGAAATAAGCATCTTTCCATTTTTATTGCAAAAAGGATGAGTAATGAAGAGTTGGTGTACCTACATGCACCTGAACACTTTCTAGTCCTAAATACTTCTATGATAAATAAATCCCTTATCTTTGTATGACTACTCAGATAGATCTCCATTTGATGTTAGAACCTGCACTGGTATATATGTAAACAATGCCTATTCTTAGGTATTCAGATACTCCAAAAGAGCCCTTTCAAAATTCAAAAGGTACATTTTTGTGATTTTCGCAAGAACTGCACAGAGCAAATATATCCCAATATACAGTACCACAGGATAGTTTAAATGCTAATAATACTTAGTCATGCAAATATATACCACTCCAAGCATACAGAATTCTAAACATGCAAAAAGTAAAGATAGGTTCCCAAAATATGGCAGACATTTACTGTTAAATGATTCACAGAATTGGTAAGCTAGAATTGCGCTAGTTAGTTGTGTAGGAACCCATCCATGTATTAATCAGAAAGTAGGTTTAGTATGTAATATCCACAGAGAAAAAGTGTAAACCCACCATCATCTTGCTGTGCCAGGAACCGTAATGCTGCTATTTCAGCATATGTCACACCTCCAAGGAAAAAGACTAGAGTGACTTTCTGCTCTCCAGCACTAGAATGGGTGGATCCAATAGAACCCCCTGGAAACAGACAATAAAAAGGCTAATAACGTGGAAATGAAATTTATATCTCCTTTCTTTTGATGTAATACTAAATTTGCCTTCAGATTTATGAATTACTATAATGGTAATACATGTACATGTGCAGATGAATAAAAAACCAGAAACACATAGGTCTTAGTTGTAACATAAATTGTATTACTAGCAGATTAACATATGGAAACTAGCAGTGTAACATATGTAAAAAACTTGTTCACACAACAAAAGAGATATGTTGAATAATTATAAGAAAAAAAAACTACTAAAAAATTGTCATCACTCTGCAGTAATACTAGGTAAATCAGAATAATTTCCTAACGAAAAGACACCAAAATACACCATTAAGTGTAATTTTCCTATTATTTCCTTCCAACTGAATCTTTCTACAAACCTTTATTGAAATCAGTCAAGCATATTTTGAAAAATTGACAAATTACATTTGCAAAATGTCACTCAAAAATATGTCTCATGTGATCTAAAAGAATACCTACGTCGTTTGCGGAGAGCTACAGGGATTTGTTGAATCTCCTCTACAGTGGGACCAGGAAGGAGATTGAGGACCTCTGTAATGCTCCGCCAGCCAGGTCGGGCATAATACTGCGCCAGCCTCACACTTAGGGGTGCAAACCCGCTATATACATAAGCTATATCATGTGGGTTCTGAAATAACAACAGGTCATCTTTAAATTTTCCGTTAGACTCCACACAATAACCTTTGTTGTGTGGTTCTATATAAGCATTCATTAAAATTGTGTGAAATTAAATACCCAGTGAATTAACAATAAATAAAAAATTCAGAAAAAGTATATAAAAGGCCAGATTACATGGCGACATATGTCCAATTCTATGAAAATAATTCTTGTAAACTAGTCCCAAGGAGGACAGCCATGAAATATTTTCTCCATGAAAGTTAACAATTATACAGCATTTATCCAACAGTACGAGTACAAGTGATTAATATTCAGTGATGTCAGTATCTCTAAAAACTTAGATATGTTATTTCAACATACCCCAGTAGTCACTGTATTTATCTAGTTTTTGTAAAGTTATGGTTATAATTTTTCATGTTTTTTTTTCTTTTGCAAGTCATGAAACAGATTATGGCTTTCTCTATAAATCTAATTTTTTCATGGTATCTATTTTTCACAAATTTATTCAATCTTCAAAAATGGCAAAAAAGAACACCTCTTACACGACATACCTGTTCATTGACATCGTCTACAATCAGTCGCATGGACTTCCTTATAGCTGGGTATGTTCTGTTGCCATGGGGACGCAGTAGTCCCACCTTTTCTATATTCATAAGTGTAACCATATGCTCATATCCATATGTCTAAAACAAAATCATTCAGATAAATTTCCTGTACATGTATAGGTTTGTGAAGTACCTGTTTATGAAGTTGCATAGATCCTGCAAACATATACCTACATATATAGTCTACCTATTACAATTGTGATATTTCTGCAGAAAGAAATACATTTTCAGGATTTTTCTTTTTTCTTGATAGTAATATCACAGTCCATTATCAATTTCGTAATCAGTTATATTTCTACCAGTTAAGTGAATATTGACAGAATGACGTACCTGTACAATTTCACGTTTGTAGTGGTCGAGCACTTTTTGTTTAAGTCCGTTATTACAGTAGGATTGTATACACACCAAGCGCAGCACCTGCAATACAGTATTGTGTGATGCATCACAACTCTCAACAGCAGATCTCCACACTCACCATACATAGTAATACAATGTTAGCAATTTTTATGATTATATAAACATTTCAATTAGATATCATTGCTCCAATCAAAATGTACTTATCAGATGAATATTGATTGTTCATACATTAGTATTTAACATTGTATTGTGAAGGTATAAACATACTAAGATCTTTGTTATTACTTCAACCTTACTAATTATCAGTTTTCCTCTACATCATATCATACACTTACTCTCTTTGGTTGAGGTGAATATGGATATCTGTTAACTAGAATATTGTGTTATTGACTAACATGATTGATAATGTCCAGAATCTATAACACCAAACCTCATTTCACCATGCCAATAACATAAAATGTACACAATAGTATGGTGTCAAAAAGTTGTATTGATTTCAGGTAAAGTCAATAATTGTATGATATTGACCCAACATGTGACATCATTTCATATCATAAATCCTAATTAACAGCTATCACTTTAATAACAATCTACCTTATTGATTGGTTCCTGTCTGCCCATACAGTCCTCTATATAAGGATGTATCTTGTCTGTCTCCATACCATTAATAAATTCTGTAAATGAAGCAACCAGTATGGTTATATATACAGACATATTTACATATAAACATCACCATAGCCAGGTTAAATCAGACATGACTGCAATTTTTAACAAAGAGAGAACAAGTATTCTGTTTGACAAGAAAATAAATGAAACAAATACATGTTACAGGATCAAAACACATGTAAAATGGTTATCTTCATATCTTATCTTAAGAAGAAGCACCTTTATGCAGAGTAAATTTGATGATAAAGTCCACCTGTGGTAAGATTAGAAATAACCGAGTGCTGAATCATACCTTGTTGACAGCGTAATGAGTCCATGAACTCATCTGTATCAGTGGCTTCTTTCACTAACTCAGCAATGGATGTGTCTGTAAAAGTGAGAAATTCCTCTTAGATTTCAAACCTTTCTATTGCATTTCAGGATAAGACATTTGAAATGCATGAAATTGAACCATATAAATTGCATAATGTATTATCTGAATTTTAAAATGCATTCAAAAACTGTATAATGCTAATGCGTCAATTCTCTTATGAACACCATGCCACGTAAGTGTAATTTTTTTCATAAAAAAGACAGTAGTTGTCCTATCTTATCAATATTTTGTCACCTGATTATAAACTTTTCATAAAACTATTATTTTAAATCAATGAAATCATTTCAATATAATGTAAAACACAAAACTTATTTTAACACAGTTTCAAATTTATTCCAGCATTGCACTGAATTCAAGTTGGCATTCATGAGCTTATGAATGTCAACTGGACAAAGGCAAAGTCATCATGAAGCACATTAGTTAAAAGCTTATATATACTTATTTCTTACGTTATTTGACTTCAATTTTTTCTATTTTAAATTTATGCTCTTTCTGTTAGCAGTTATGAGATAATAATCAACAATATCTTTACAATGGATATATCAAGTAAGTGTGAGAAGTTGGTAAATATAACATAAATAAGTTACGTGTAGAGAGTGATGCCCTGACTTGCTGGAGGTGAGGAAGCTTGGATACAAACTGTTTCATCTCACTCACAGTTTTAGCACTATGTCGTTCCTGATTAAACAATTAAAATACATTAATCACACAGGCAACCAGTCAGGTGTCTGATCCTGATTTACATAAATTCTGTGTGATCATTTTTACAGACAATGCAACCCAACTGAAGATATCAGTTTTATAGGTAAACATGATTTGACTCAGAATAACATTGCCACAGAGGTATGTCAATTATGAAGGTTAAGTAAACATGAGGACTAGGTCTTTTTATTGAAAGAAAATTTTACAATACATCAAATTTTGTTTAAATCTAATTATAAAAATTGAAGATATTTAAGGGAACAAAAAATTTATCTATCTGAACATTTTTAAAGTCCAGTATATTGCTCAAGCAAATATTGATGGCTTTTGATTAATATCAAACTCATTCTAGATCTCAAAAGCCATAACATAACATAACTGAATCTAATTAATGGCAATAAATAAAACATCTCTTTCAAGGATTTTAAATCATCTGTGATATTATTGTACCAAATTTGATTCCAATCTGATGAGAAAATCCTAAGTCATTTCACAGAAATCCTCAAACTAATAAGTAGGTTGAAAGGTCAAGGGTCAGGGTCAAAAGCGATATCAAATGAAGGATCTTATCCTCAGGAATATACATGCCAAATATGAAAGCCTTATCCCAGGACCCAAAGTTAAGTGCAGACAAACATACTGACTGGCAGACAAAACTTTTGGGCATGAAATACCAGCATTAAATTTCGTAATGATGAATTTTCACAAACAATGGAACTTAAAGGACCTAAGATATCAATTTCATAAATATACTCAGAACAATACCAGCAGTACATGTACAAACTTTTGTGTTTTGATAAACAATGAAACTGAAGGGACCCAAGATTTACAGTCTTATAGGTGTAAAACTTACATCAAATTCTGCAGTGATGACCTTTGCCTTTTTACTAACAATTGATCCAACAGCATTGAAATTTTTGTCACGAAGATCTGCATACAGTTCATCTTGAGAGTTGAGGATGACCTTTTTAGGCTCAGATGACACTGCCTGAGGATCATCCTGTTGTTGAGGACCAGTCTGAAACTTTTCTGGGGGAAGCTTTACACTTGCTGGAAAATAAGTAAACCAGTGGACTGGATAAGAAGTTTAAAATATGTTTTTCAAGATTGTGGCCATGGTGGGTGTGTCATCAATAATAACAGAGAAATGGGTGGTGGGCATGTCATCATAATAACAGAGTAATGGGTGGTGGGTGTGTCATCATAATAACAGAGTAATGGGTGGTGGGTGTGTCATCATAATAACAGAGTAATGGGTGGTGGGCGTGTCATCAATAACAGTGTAATGGGCAGTGGGTGTGTCATCATAATAACAGTGTAATGGGCAGTGGGTGTGTCATCATAATAACAGAGTAATGGGTGGTGGGTGTGTCATCATAATAACAGTGTAATGGGTGGTGGGCGTGTCATCAATAACAGTGTAATGGGCAGTGGGTGTGTCATCTTAATAACAGTGTAATGGGCAGTGGGTGTGTTATCATAATAACAGAGTAATGGGCAGTGGGTGTGTCATCATAATAACAGAGTAATGGGTGGTGGGTGTGTCATCATAATAACAGAGTAATGGGTGGTGGGCGTGTCATCAATAACAGTGTAATGGGCAGTGGGTGTGTGTAATGGGCAGTGGGTGTGTTATCATAATAACAGAGTAATGGGCAGTGGGTGTGTCATCATAATAACAGAGTAATGGGTGGTGGGTGTGTCATCATAATAACAGAGTAATGGGCAGTGGGTGTGTCATCATCAGTAACAGAGTAATGGGTGGTGGGTGTGTCATCATCAATAAACTGATTTGGGTGGTGACTGTACTCTCTGACTGATTGGTGGTAAGTGTGTCCCCATAAATAAACTGACTGATTGGTGGTGGATGAACCATCTTAAACTGATACCAAACTCATCTATAAGACCTTATATGTCAAATGTGAGATAAGGGCTCAAAACTATTTCTATTTTTGATAGAAAACATCTCTTCTATAAGACTGTCAGAGGTCAGTTGTAAAATAAGAGCTTACTATACTTCTATGCTTAATACAAAACATCTCATTTACAAGACTTTCATAGGTCAGCTGTGAGATAAGGGTTTACAACACTTTATTAGTATTATTGATACATCTTGTCCGTAAGACATTTGTAGGTCAGCTGTGAGATAAAGGGTTACTATACTTACTATTATTGATACCAAACATCTCGTCTATAAGACCTTCATATGTCAGCTGTGAGAGAAGTGGGGTTAGAAGGTCCACATTTCGGTCCAGGATGAGCAGGTTATCTATCTGAGGTGTGATCTGTGGTTCACGGCCGCCAAGTTCTCTTCTCATACGCAGCATCATGTCCACTATATGCTGAAAAAATTACAAAAACTTATTTCAGGCATTGGACAAGCTCATTATGTAAAGTCAATTCAAGGCTCAGATGGCAATAAAATAGAGATTCAGTTATTATGAAATGAGTTGTATTTGAACATATGGCCTTTATAGTCATTAACTAGTAACATAGAGGTAGGCTTTAAGGAATTCACTTCATCCTGTAAAGCAACATATTGGATTGTATGTACATACGTGTATACATCTTACAAGATATATTGTACACCAACTTTCTTTTATGGCTACTCGCTTTGGTTATTTCAGCTATACAACAAATTCAAAGCAACTCGTTAACTAGTGTTAACTAGAGTTAACTAGTGTTAACTATAATCTTGGCACATTCTCCTTTGCCACAGATGTTTGGCATGATGCCACACAGAACTAGTGTTAACATCTACTTTGACATAGTTTCCCTTGCCACAGATGTTTGGCATGATGCCACACAGAACTAGTGTTAACACCTACTTTGACATAGTTTCTCTTGCCACAGATGTTTGGCATGATGCCACACAGAACTAGTGTTAACATCTACTTTGACATAGTTTCCCTTGCCACAGATGTTTGGCATGATGCCACACAGAACTATTGTTAACACCTACTTTGACATAGTTTCCCTTGCCACAGATGTTTGGCATGATGCCACACAGAACTAGTGTTAACATCTACTTTGACATAGTTTCCCTTGCCACAGATGTTTGGCATGATGCCACACAGAACTAGTGTTAACATCTACTTTGACATAGTTTCCCTTGCCACAGATGTTTGGCATGATGCCACCCAGAACTAGTGTTAACACCTACTCTGACATAGTTTCCCTTGCTACAGATGTTTGACATGATGCCACACAGAACTATTGTTAACACCTACTTTGACATAGTTTCCCTTGCCACAGATGTTTGACATGATGCCACACAGAACTACTATTACTCCTATCTTCGAACAGTCTTCCATGCAATAGATGTTAGCTATAATGCCACCAAGGGCTAGTGATGACTCCTACCTTTGCGCAGTCTCCCTTGCCACAGATGTTAGGTATGATGCCATAAAGAGCCTGTAAAGTCATCAGGGACTGTGCAGCATAATGCATTGATGTAAAGTCATTCTCTAGGTAACACTCCTGTGGTAACAAAGGTAAAATGATGCGAGTCAAATTGTGAAAATAGAGTTATACACATTAAACTGAACACATTATATAGATTTTTAACACAAACAAGGTTGTTCAAAGCAAAATGTTGATATACATCATATGTAACATGAAACAATTCTAAGGACCACAAAAACATGTGTAAGTAATGGCCGTGAAATATTTATAAGGTAAGAAGATTTGATCCTAGTACGGCGACCTACCCTAAAAGAAGATTCCATTTCCATAGAAAGTAGATCAGAATCAAAAGGAATGAGAGAGAGTTGGAATTCCTCAAAATTGGTTATGGTACCATACACTCCCATTTCCTGTAGACAAAAAAATAATTGAAATTCAATATCAGTTCAAAATGAAGGATCTATCACAAGTTATTTTGCTGTTGTCTTTCACTGAAATTGAGAAATAACCAACAATTTTCCTTCTTAATATTTTATTTTTGAGGTACATGTAACTATTTCTTATGACTTTCTTTTTATCCAATATGAAGAAAAAACTGATACCCTTCAATTAAAAACCTTACAGATTCAGAAGTAAAAGGTTACTTACTATAATCTCATTTATTTTGAGTTTCATGCTATGTATATTTTTACCTTCAGCTTCTTGTCACATAGCAGACTCCTTCTGGGAACAAAGATAATATGGTAATCCTTCCTAAAGCCTCCTTTTTGTTCCTCTCTAAAAACAAAAAAAGAAATTACTGAAATTTTGACTAAATCTTATGATGTATTTTACATTCTCACACCTAAATTGATAAATCTGTACTTTTAAACAACTTGTTACAGTAATTGTCAGGAAATACTGAACATGATCTGTTACATATTTTCAAGAAGTGCATTAATAGAAATAAAACAAACTTAAATATGTTGAAATTGAAATTGATCCTTTATTAAATTCTTTTCCATAAACACTTACTGCAGTAGATTTTGTGCAATTTGCTCCATAAGACTGAGCTTTGGACGTGTGACAAAGATGATGTTTTGTACATTGGATGGCGGCAGTCCAGAAGACCGCAGGGGAAACATCTTTTCAACTTCATGTTCCTAAAAAATTCATGACATGTGTTTTTATCAAAGGGCCACATGAAGAGACTACTGAAGAGCTACTCTGAGATTTTCCTCAATGTACCGGGAGGCCTATCACTGCCGTTTACATTTCTGATAAAAAGCAAATTGGTGTAGGGTTGACATTACTATAAGGCATAGGCCTATTACCACTGATTTTTGGCCAACAAAGAATCAAGAACATTTTTCCAGTTATGAAGAAACCATTAGAATGATTCATTTCCTTATTTGAACAGGTATAGGGGAAAAAACCACTAATTACCAAAAGAGTATTGTAGATAAAGGTCAAGGGTCAGTTTGAGGGTCTGGGTGATTTTTTTAATCTATGGTTATGTTCAATCCCTTTTTAAACAAATAACAAGCACAACTGGCCTAAAACTGAGTGAGAATAGCGGGCTAATTATAGTTACATTATGTAGCATCTAAATCTGGCTGTGCCTTGGTCTACATTTAGGTACAGAATCTTAACTATTAACTAAGAAGTCTTGTCTGTGTCTTGGTCCACATTCTCTTACAGAATCTTTAACTATTGACTGACAAATTTGGCCTGGGCCTTGGTCTACGTTCTGTTACAGAATGTTAACTACTGTCTGCCAGAGTCTCATTTAATTCAGTTGTAGGTAAAACAATATATTATTTCAGTAACCTTATATTTCACAACATATTATTTGCGACTTGTTAGCATTTGACTTTCTTCATCAAAAGTAGATGGTATTTTTAATCCATGCTGATTTATAAATATATTTTATGATCTATATATAACAGGTCATGAACACATAATAGATTCTTTAAAAAAAATCATGCTAAGAAAAAAGTGGAAACTGTTACATGACTCGGGAAAAATACACATAATAAAAATGAAATACAGAATACCAGTACCAGTACGCATTTATTTTGTGCCTGTAAAGATACTAAAATATGTTGTAGGTAATAATTTGTGATTTCTGAAAGCTTTCAAAAATTTTGTTCCGTCTTAGATATTGATGACTCAAATGTGTGGTTTACACTTGAGCTGTGATAGCCAGACTTATGAAACAACAGTTAAAATCAAATGACCTTAAGAACAAAGTTGATGACAACTAATATCAGTGTACTTGCCTTCAACAATGAGTATTCAGCTATAAGACCAAATGCTCCTGTCAGTGCATCATCCCAAACCAGAGCCTGAAATAGGAAACAAAAGGACGTTATCATTCTATTTCAATGCCACACCAGGATTCAAACCTGTGTCCAATGGCTTACTAGTTCCGGCATCAAACCGATCAAGCTATAGAGAAGTTCACCTATCTAACTAATAGTATTTTATTGTGGGGCATGACTTAAGTATAACTTCTAAGTCACTCTGTGGGTGATAATGTAACAGATGCTCAACCAATCAAGCTAGAGTTCTCTCTAGCCTATCAGTGTATTGTGGTTGATATGTTACCAGCGTAACATATTACTATAATCACAATTTAGGCAGGTGCATCAACCAACAAGAGAATATATTTCAATAAAGCTATAGTTCTCATGTTGATGCTCCCTGTCCATTTAACTGCATATTATAAGTTTTATCTTTTTAGTAAACCACTACCACAGTATGCATCAAGCTCACTGACAAATAAAACAGAAATTTTCATAATTACATAACATAACACATCTAAAATGAGCAATGGGTAATAACACTTTTCATAGTAGTCGTTAAGAAGAAATTGAAAATGTCAACTGTTTACGATGGATGACACACAACAACTGGACAAAAGGCAATCACAATAGGTCACTTGAGACTTCATCTCAGGTTACCTAAAAATCATATCAAGAGGACAATACTTGGGCCCATATCATTAACTTGCAGTAGTTTAGTCACATTACCTTTATAAAAACTTTAGGAGAAAAATTTTTATTGTTTAATCCTCTTTCCTGTATTGGACCAAATCTCTCTGCTCCAAATAGAAGTAAGAGAGGATACAAAGATGAATCCCTTCAACTCAGTGACATGGGGTCAGACGCTTTATATAGAATTAATGAAAGCAAGACTCTTCAGAGAGAGGCACCTGAGTAAAGCTCTATACTAAAATAGATATGATAAAATTTTCAGGTCTGGCATACAGGATGTTGATAGTTCTGATTCAGAAATAAACTTAACTTGTAAAACATCTGAAAGACATTTCATCTACACAACTGGAATTGATGCAACAGAAAAAAATTCATAGGTGACCTGCACTTCTTGAAATATTCTTAATCAATTTTATAGGATTTAATAGGATAACTTATGAACCCAGGTATACAATGGCTCTATGTAAATATCAACTTTTTACATAAAAAGTTTCAAGTTCAAATGCCACTTTTGATGCAATTCCATCTCGCCATGTGGTTATATTTCCATTCTTGATTATGTCACCGTTTGTCCAACGCTATTTCAAATTCTCTCATGTTATTTGCAGAACAACCTTATCAAGGAGACTGTTCCAATTATTGATAGTTCTTTGCCCAATGAATATTTTCATACATTAAGTTTTGCAATATTTACTTCCATAGTTTCTGCAAGTGTCTTCTGGTTCTCAATGATTAATCTTGCTAAAAATGCCTTTTTTACCTTACAGTCACAGAATTTATTCATTTTTTATACACCTTAACCTTCCATGTACAAGTGTTTGTAACTGAAGTTTCCTTGACGATATGGACAAGATCATTCTTTCAGGTCTGGTACACAATAAATAAAAAAAAATAATAAGCAAATGAAAAATACTATGATAACCATTCTACTTTCCTGAATTTGTCAGACTTATTTTTTTATTTTTGCTAAATACAAAGATAATTTTACAGAAATGAAATTGGCATGAATAAGAAATTCTTTATCCTTCAATTTAATATCAAGAATATATTGATTGCCATTCAATATCATGACTTCACAACTTATACACAAGCACAAGAACACGTCATTGCCACAAAAATTGCTAGATTGATCACTCGCTGTCGCCTATCAAATGCTCTTCATTTCTTCAGGCACTAATTAACCAGTTTTTCTTGATTCTTTCTACAGAATGTCTTTGCGCGTGTGGGCTTCGCTCTTTCCAGGTACTGCCTGGCTCCTATTCCTATCCAAACAGAATGTTGCTCTAGGCAAATTTTGATAAGAAATTGTTCATCGCAGAAGAAAATTTATTCCTGTAGCACTAGCACCAGATGTCTTTCCGATTTAATGTTTAATGCACGGATGTTAGTCAGAAAAACTGACAAGAGGCACCACCCCCATACTCCAACATGTTTCTCTTTCGTATTAATGAAATAACTTAACGAAAATGAATAATATTGTCAAGTTACCTTTGTTCCTGAACATTTGTCAAGCGACTCAAGAAGTTCTCTTCTATAGAAATCACGCAGAAGACTTAAATTAATCTTTCCATTAGACAAGTGAGCGGCTGCAGACATTTTAACCGGAAGTAAGGAAGGGAGCAGCTATTAGTGTTTGATAATTTTTTTTATAAACACGAGAAATTGACTTCATACGTATTTCAACGGTATAACTCGAGTTCCCAACATGCACCCGAATCATATTACTTAACTTGGTTTTCTATGGAATAATAAGCTTTCGATATTGCCAAAATGAAAACTCAAGTTGAAAGTGAAATTACAAATATAAAAAATGCATGATCCCTAGGAAAATTATGAAGCTATCTATTAACGTTTTAAGTGTTTTGTAAAATAAATTAAGAACCCCTCTGTATGATGATGTTGGAAGATGGTCAAAATTATAATCTGAAAATGATGACATTGTGCAAATGTTATTTGCCAATGTAAACAGTTACTGTGTGGTTTCACTTCCGCACAAGGATACTGAATTGACATAAGGGTCAAACGTCAAATAGTGCGCTCTCCGGCACAATATGGTCATCGAAATAAGGCTGTTTGTTTACAGATTTTGATATTTCGAGTATATGAGGATATCGATAATGATTCGTTACTGCTACATTTTTATAATTATGAGAGTTGATATTTCCAAACATCGTGGCGATCTCTAAACGGCGGAAAGATCTTCATTGGCGGTTGTTTGGTCGAGTTGCTGAAGCAGGAGACGGGCAAGATGATGGCAAACGGTAAGGGTATACGAAAACCAGTGACAACCGATTTAGATGGAATTTTTCAATTTAACATGTCAGTTTATTTTGACTTACATCTATTTTCAGAAATAGAAAACCGGCAGAAGCTTCTGCGGGCTGTTAAAAAAGAGGTAAAGTCTTATTTTCTTATTTTCATTGATGATTCCGAGATGGAAAAATCAATATTATTATGAGAAGTGAATGGGTAGCCATACATTCATGTATGTGTGTGCATTCATTGGTTTGCGAATAATTAATCATGATGACCATGCGGATTGCTTACAATACTTAGATATCAATGAATTTATCATTTACTCAGTAGTAATGTTAAATAAAGATACAATAAAAGGTACTGAAACTATATTTCAAGGAATTTAAAAGCTTGTCAGTTGTTTTTAATGAGATTACCGTTTAGAATTAAAGTTGCAATTAGTGAGTTGATACATTGAAGCTTCAGTGGAACTTTAGAATTGAATGTTAAATAAAAAAGTAAATGTAGTACATACCATTTTATACTCCTTTCAGACCTGATATTTACCTAGTTGAAACATTTTAATAATAAGAAAAAAATATTCAGACATGATCATAAGTAAAGATAGTGAAAACTCCACCACTTTCATAATATAATCATATTGGCTCTGTCAATCTAGCATATACGGTGAACACTCTAAATTACTGGACTATACAGGGACTAAATAATTTGGCTAGTTTGTAGAGAACTCTGGGTGATAGTTTGCATTTAGATGATTTAAAGTGAGTAGAATAAAAACCTAAACTACAGTTATTGTTCTTAATGTATTTCATTAACACTGGCATTATAGCAAGTTTGGGAAACTGATTTAGTTGAATGAATAGAAATGTTATAACATTGGTGAACACTAAGCATCAATATCCTGCTCAGCTAGAGATATCTTTCCTTTAACTCATTCAGTTGAGCATAAAATGCTTGCTAACAGACTTATAAAATTAAATAATGACTTCTTATATCTTACTTAGCTATTTCGTTTGTTGTCAGTGTGGATGATTAAAAATTTTGACTTAAAAGAATCAGTGGTTGTCTTGGACAGTTTGCTTTCATGATTGAGTTTCCTATCAACCAGTGTATAGCCTTATTTTTTTAATTACCATTTTCAGAATATCTTTACCGATATAGCCTTGTTCCTTATTCATTCTTGTTCATTATGAATGAATGTGTTTGAGTCATTTTCATTTGTTTGGTCCATTTCATTATCAGATTTGACCAGTCAGATTCATCATTTATGCACCTATTGGACACTATTGATAATTTCATTTTCTATTCAGAAGAACACTTCCTGAGTGAAGTTTTATCTACCGTATATTTGTCATCATTCTCCTCAACTTTCTCATCCAATGATTTTACAATCACAGAGCTCATAAAGGGAAACGTGGCATGTAGATAGCATTTTTGTTATGAATTGCAATGATTGTCTTTTCTATCTAACTGGCATCTGTATCCTGCATATACAGTGTATACTGTGTTAATTCAACATTTGATGTAACAGGGTGCTGCCCTTCAGACTTGGTTGGTAGAAGCATTTCCATGGTATTATCATGTCAGAATCCTGACTTTGAAATCTGTCCAGTGCAGTAGGCAGAAAGGAATGTATTTTTCACATGTAATATGTGTCTGCTAAATGTCCAAATCTGTAGAGTCAAGACTTAACAAACATTGGCAGAATGAGCCCTCTAAATTCACACCAAATTGTTCCACATGATACTGCATCTTGTATTGATTCGTGACCAGTATATAAATTATGGTTTCGAGAAGACTTCAGCAGTGTTTGATTGATGTAATTGATGTTAGGATGGTAGAACAATCATATTTTCATGTCCCCGTAGTATCATAACATTAAGTTCTACACTTGATCAGATTCTGTTTTGAATTAAGGAGAAGGGGTTTGTCTTGTGGACATTTTCTAGTTCTGTTGTGAAATAAAATTGTAGTTTAAGGATGGTTCTGAGGATTCAGGGATGCTGTAACACTTGGCAGGTCTTAAACCTCTCCATAACCTGTGTTTTAACTGTCGTTTATCATGAGATCCCAGGTTAAAACAGATGTTGTGGGTCTGTCTAACAATATCATCATATGCTCTGTGATAACTTATTTACATCAGTCAATTTTTACAACAGTTCTTTTCAAATATCATAATATTGATATGTAACACAATATCAAAAGCACCTTATCAGAAGTAAATCAGATACTATGAAAAGTCATTGGTTAAACATACATTTTATATCAATAATTTGAACTGAGACACTTCATATTATTTTCATACCTGTCCTGTTTTTAAAATATGTTTATAAAATTAAATCAATATTTCACAAAAAGTAGAGCAAGTGGAACAGTTTTCACTCATGTTTTAGATCTCTGTTTCAGATTGTTACTCTGAGCAATAATTTCTGTATTATCACATTTTACAGGGTTTTCCGGTCTTTGATTTATTTAGCAGCTATGACATAAAGATGTATTACACAATGTTGATAACATTAAACATCAAACATGTTTATTGCACTTGATTTTTTTGATTACCGGTAGGTGTTTAAAAGACAAAATTTAGGCAAGTCCTGAACCTTTCAGGAAAGTCTGTCCTGTTTATCTTGTCTGTAACAGCAATTAATAAAACCAAACAAAAAAATATTTAGTTTGAGAAATTTCCAAGACTTAACATCATACCAGGTTCATATATATGGTTCGTCTGCTAGGTTTCAGCAGAATGCCTAGTGGTATGCAGAGCTCTCTTACATCAACAAATGAAAAAATAAAAATCTTGAAGCCAGGTTTCAAACCAATATAAGCTACTATCTTCTATAGAGAATAATATTGACTAAATCATTATTGCTGTTCTTTTACAACATACAGGTCCCCCCTCCCCACTCTTTTGTTTTTCCTCTTTGTCGTTTTTGTATCTTACCATTAAGCCCCTGACACCATTACCACCACTAAAAGATAGATAACAAATGATTCACAATTGTTCTTCTACCCACCTAACAGTTTTATTCTAGAAAAAAGATACCATTGTTGCTGCCAGAAGGTCCAGCTCCTGCTATCATTGCCAAATCAATAAATATCATTAATCTACTGATGAGAATCTCCCACAGTTCAGTCTGTTTGTCGCTTTGTATTAGAGAGGCTAGCTGATTATTATGTTTCAGATTTAAAGCTAAGCTTAGTGCTTCAAGAATGTTGAACTAGTCTGGAGGCAACCTACTTTTCAAATTTATAAGGAGGTTTTTCAGAACTTATCCTGACTGTTGAATCTTGTTGTAAGGAGTTGATTGTTTTGAACCTCAACAGTGTTATCCAGATTTTGCTCTGTCCCTACAGTGTCGTCCAACAGATCTGTAATGTTAATGCACACTAAGATAAGGTATGTTTCTTATATTCTGTGGTTTCATTAACACCATACCTGACAGTTATATATGAAACCAACAGCAATTTTTAAAAAATGCCAGTTATGACAGCTGTTACAAGAAGAAATAACGAATTGAGAAAAACTTTCCAAATTAAAATAGCCTTATCTTTTCACACTTTCTCTACTGTGAACCCCAGACAGATGAACTTCTTAATTCTGCCCTAGTTAAACTTAGCAGGAGTTTATCATATCAGTTGAGTATCTAACAGATGATTTGTTTGTTTTTAAACACATAGAAATAGGGATGTCCTTTGTTTGTTTGATCATCGTATAGCTGAATTGAATCTGTGAGCCACACATTCCATATCCATAGGCAACTTCAATTTCTGGTGGCTGCTCAGTCTGTAGAACATCAGACTAAGTAACCTCTTGTGGAGATCCGAAGTGTGTGGTTCAATGCTACCTACTTGTGTGAGTTTGAGTTTCTCAGGAAGTCTGTACTGTTGTGAGTTCAATGTGTCTTTCGGCAAGACACTTTACCCTAATTACTCTGAATGACATGTGATGGGCATCCTGATTGTTGTTCAGTGAAGCAGCCACAAGCTCCTAAAAGGAAAACCTGTCTCAAAATGACTCAATATGGTGGTTCTTAGGGCGATGAACCCAGAAAATAAACCAGCAGGTTATATACTTACTAACTAACTACATTTACTGATGCATCTTTGTATCGTTTGATATGATTGTTATTATGCAAGGTGAAATTTTCCAGGCCATAAACTGCATTTAAGTATAAGCTACATGGCTGATTATTAGCAAGTTTTTCAATTTGATTCACATATTGGAAGAAAAGCAGCGCTTTCTGATGATGTGATAACCATTATGTTGACCAGTTTGTTGATATAATAGACAACGGAAGGCAATTTATCAAGATCGACAGTGAAACATTTGATATTAGTTTTCAAATGAATTATACACAGATAATATGTTTGAAAAACATGAAATAGCAGTTATAGAACTTGTTTGACTTCGGAGCACAGATAAAGGGCCTGACGTTACATACGGTTTACCTAACAATATCTCCATAGGTGTCTGTACTGTTAAATATTAGCGAAAGCCGTTGCATGCTGAAGAAATTCTTATAGTCCCATATTATTTTTATTAGTGCTACAAAACCATTTTTATCATAAATAAGCATGATGGTTGACCTAGAATCTGACCTGATGACCTATCGATCCCAGGATGCAAAAGGCTATTGTAAACTTCTGCTATGGCTTCTGGTGCAACCACGAAAGTTCAGAAGATATTATTGTGATTCATATTAAAAGGTATGATTAATCTTATTTTCAATTCAATCTTAAAATCATCCTGTATATGGTTGCAAATGACGGTTCTAGACGATTTGGTTCAGTCACAAACACATGATGAACAAGTACTCTTAAAAAACTTGGTTCCGTCATATCTTACTGGTGTACTGGTATCCTTGGTTTAAATCTATATTTTTCATTCTTTCTCGAAGTATAACATTTTACAGCAATAAAAACAATAAGGGTGCGATGTCTCACAGGTCAATTGTGCATGCGATACACCTCAATAAAATCACCATTTCGAAATACATAATGCTCAGGAATGGATGATATGCTTGGTTATTATTGGGTTTTTTTTTCATTTTGTCTTTTTTTTCGTCCACATATAAGCCACACCAGTTTATAAACTGCAAACTCCACTGCCAAGAAAAACACTGCAGCTTATAATCTGGA